AAAAAAAAAAAAAACCCAACACAAAACTTTGTCTCCTGCTGTCTCCTGTTGTATGGATCTGTTCGCTCCTTTTTTATGGACCTCTTAGAGACCCTCCACAGAATGTCTGAATTCTTGCATTCTTAACCCTTTCATCACTGTATTACAATTTCTTTTTAAAAAAGAAACTCCCCTTTTCACTTCTCTACGAAATGCTCACAGCAAAACAGGTTTGCTTGTGTTTAGATTCTTGAATTAAATACAGTCTTGCATTGAGATGTTTAATGCATTTAAAGCTGGAACAAACCCATTGGAAGCCGTGTTTTTGGGAGCTCAAAGTGCTGCATTTATTGGGAGGAAAAAAAAAAATCCCCACAAAGCAAATTGCCAAGGTTTAGCTGCTCCATTTACAATAATAGCGTGTGTACATTCATTTAGCCTTGTGGTGGTGGCTTTTCCTTTATAAGGTGTGGGGCGGAGAGTGTAAAGCTACTGTGTGTTGAGCTTGAATGGGATGTCACTGAAAGGTACAGTATTCCTTTCCTGCCTGCTAAGTTAGGAAATAGCTGGCCCCTGGAGCCCCAGAGGGCAAAATCAGTTTTGTCTCTGGAAAAGGCTTGTGATATGAACCCTAAAATAAACACTTAACACTTCACATCTGTACAACTGAGCCCTGGGTTGCTATTTCTTTTTTAAAATTTTTTCAGACTAGGACAGGGTTGAAAAAGTTGAGTTTAGCTGTTCTGCTGAGATCTGCTGCCAGCTGCCTCCCTCTGAAGGGAAGGGAACAGATGTGCATCCTGCTGCCCAGAGGGCCACCATTCCTGCTGGACTTATTTTTGGCAGTGGGACTGACCAGCAGCCTCCTGCCCTGTGCTGGCTGGCAGTTCTTGCTCCCTGCAGCCCCAGCCCTGTGCATCTGGAGCTGCCTTCTGTCACCTGTGTGGGTCACCTGTGGGCAGGTGTGGCTCTGCACGGCTGAGCTTAAGAACATTTGACATGCACTTGCTTAGAGGTAGGTTTATCTACACAGAAGAGGTAATTGACTATATGGGAAATAAAAATGTTTGATTTCAAAATAGACAATCTAAGTGATACAATGTGAGAGCCTAGCTCCCTGAATATCTCTGGAATTCTGCCCACCTTTCATAGGCATTGACTTGCATTATAATTCTCTGTGTAAACATGGAAGCTGAAGTTATGGATTGGGGTTTCAACTACACACAGAAGAGCTCCTAAACGAGGGGGATTCTGTTTGTTCTCCTCCAGCACTTGCATTTTTAGGGAAACAAGTTCTTTACTGTGGTTTCTCAGCAGAGTGGTAAGAGAGCAAAGACTAGATTTTTGGGGTTGGTTTTTTTTTTTTTAAGAGAAGTACTTTGCATGCACTTCCCAGAGGAATTCAGAGAAGAGCCTGCAAGGCTGTCGGAGTTTGGAACTCACTTTGGTGCCCGTGGGATGTCCGGGCTCTCTGTGCTGCAGGGCAGAAGTGGGCAGTGCTGAGCTCTTCCCCTGCCCAGCTCCCTGGGGTTCAGAGGTGTGTGCAGCCCCACAGCAGAGCAGGCCAGCAGCAGGTTTTGACAGGCTCTTCAGCAGTGTGCTTCAGCTGGTGCCCCGAGCTTAGCCTCGCGCATGTTTTTGGAAGCCCTTGGCAGAGCTTAGGGCGCTCTGTCTCGGGCAGGGGGATCCTGCATGCTCCTGTCTGAGAACTCTCTTCCCCAGGCCCTCAGCCTTCCCCCCGTTGCAGCGTGCTCGTGTTTGGCTGTGGTGCAGCGCCCCGAGTTCCCCTTTCTCGTGATCCCTGGATCGGCAGCTGGGCCTGGCAGCCCCGGGAGCAGACTGGAGGTGCTGGCCCCGCTTGGGCGAAACTCTAGATCCCCACAGGTACAGAGGCATCACCCTGGCCAGAGGCTGCGCCTCCCCTCCGTGTGTCTCAGGGTTTTCCATGGTACGCCACCAGCTGCAGGTCCCTCGGAGGTGCTGGGGTGGGAACAGGCTTTGTTCTGCGTCCCGGTGCGACACTGAGCCAAAGTTCCGAGTGCGCTGCCCGGACGGAGAGGAGAAGAGAGCAGACGAGAGGAGAGGAAAGCCCTCGGGCCTCCGCATGAAGTGAACAAGGCAGATGTTTCCAAAATGTTGCTTTTCTGTGGTTTGGAGGGACAGTCCGTGCCCCGGCGCTGCATCCCTCCGCCCACAGGCAGTGAAGGCTGCCCGAGTGGCGATTCCTTGTGCCCATCGCTCCCTCGGTCTCCTGCCTTCCTGCTTGCCTGTTACCTGGGAAGGCAGCTCCACCCTCCTGAGGTGTCAGCCTTCTTCCAGCAAGGACTGACTCAGCCCCAGCTGCTTTCTGGGGCCTGCAGCGGGGCTCCCCTGCGTCTAGTGATAGGATGGGGCACCCCCAGCTTCACGCCAGCCCTGCGAGGGCAGCGCCAGGGTTGGCAAATGGGCCCTTGGTGCTCCCGGCTGCAGGACTGGACTCGGGGCCATGCCAGGGCAGGGGCACCAGCCTCCAACTTTCAGGTGGCTGAGGGTGAAGGACCAGAGTGTGGCAACGCTGGTTTTGCTAATGACTTGGTTGGAAATGAGGATACTGCATCTTTCAGGATTTCCCTTGTACTTTTGACCGTCTTCACTGTATACTCTCCAGTGACTTGTATTTCCAAGCTTGGTGTTGTAAAAGATGCATTATTATGACTCTTCTGTTACCCTTTTTTAATGACAAAAAAGCAACCTCTTTTGAGAGCTCTGACGTTGGTTAACCAGACTAATTTCTCTTCCCCACTGTCCTGTGCAGTGTCATTGCTTGTTGACTTGCTGGTTTCCTTTTTTTCAGATACAACTGAAGTATGAGGGGATTTTTTTGAAACTATTTAAGAGATTGCAGAAAAATGTTTACCTGCTTTGTGTATTCTGGTTTTTTCTTAATCCCTTTTCTCCTGTTTCAGTCAATATTAGCGTTTACATTTGCAACTACTTGTCCCTTCAAATGCAGTTTTCAACCATTCTGAAACCAGCAGGGTACACTAGATTTCTTAGTAGTTTTCTTAGCTGAACTCCCAGATCTTTTCCTTTTTTTCTTCAGTATAATTTACCAGAAAGAATTAACTGATGCATTTTTGTGTTGTCTTCTTCTTCAGTAGTTATATTTTGTCTTTTCTGCACATCTGTCTACTAATAAAAATGTGAAATGAAAATATTTCTGTGCTATTACTTCCATGTTTGAGCTGGTTGCACTGCATGAGTTACTCAAAGCTTTGAATAACAGCTGTTCATGAGTTCATTGCTGCTCTGGTATAAATAGACATATTTATACACAAATATCAATCAGTTTATTGCAAAATAAAGCTGCTGTTTGACAGCTGCCTGCACCTAAGACTAAAGAACAAACTGATTTAGAGAAGGACTTCGGCAAAAGGCCAGACCTTTGCTGTTATGTTTAGCCTTCCTAAGTCAAGAAGGGGGAGACCATTGGGGTGGTTGGTGGTTTCATGTGACTGGAGCAGGGACACAGGACACAGAGCTGCTGGTGGCCAGTGCCCTGGCAGGGCAGGAGCACGATGCTCCTGAAAGGGTTGGACAGGGTGGAGGAGGAGTTTGACCGCTGGGTCAGGGAGCAGCTTCGGCAGAGAAATTGAGGTCATGGCTGCCAGCCCTCGTGAGTGCCAGTCCTGCCTGTCCTCTGCTGTTCCCTGCAGGCTCAGGAGGGGAGCAGGGTGTTTGCAGTGCCCCCCTGCTGCAGTCGAGCTAAAATTAGCGGGACAAGTGCCAGGGAGTTGCACTGGCTGCGCTTGGGATCAATGGCAGCACAGCAACTGCTGAGTCAAATGTGGCTGGGGCCCAAGTGCTTCTGTTGCACAGCTGAGCTGGAGGAACGGCATTTTGGAGCTGCCTTCCCAAAGCAGGCTCCACACTACAGGAAGGGACTGGAGGGATGGTGCTGTCTGGGGTCTGGCCTGCTCTTATTTCCTGACTGATGCTACAGCACTGGGCTGCCCTGAACTGCCAGTAGCTGCTTCCTCCAGCAGCAGTGTGGTACCAAAGGCAGGGCAAGGGCTCCAGCCCACTCTTACCTGCCTGGGTAAGCCAAGGGGGCTGCAACGGAGGGGCTTTCCCATCCTTTCCTTGGTGGCAAAGTGCAGCTGGGCAACACTGCCTCTGCCATCAGTGGAACAAGGCTTAGAAAGGAAACTGCTGCAGACAAGTCCTGCCGAAATGACAATGTAGGGGAAGGGAGAAACATTTTGTTGAGTCTCACAAAAGAGGAGCCTGCTTGTGGCTGAAGGCAACACTGCCTACAGGCAGGACCCCAGAGCAGCTGGGAAGGTGTGGGATTTGAGGCTCAGGGGCTGCTGAGGGCTGCCATCTCTCCCCTGTTGCTCCAGCTCCAGCTGCTTCTGAACTGTGACACATGCAAGAACTGATCTACACCTGTGGGGCAGCACTGGGTGTCTATATATAAACAAGACCTCAAGAGAGTGAAAGGCAGCTCTGGAAAGTCTGTGTTTTGAAGCAGGTGAATGAGGTGCTGCCATTGGTGCAGTCTTGTACAAGCTGACAGGGCCCCCGCCTGCAGAAGCATTTTTGCCTTCCCTGACATTCAGGCTGCAAAGCTGCTGGCAGTGGGGCAGCAGCTGCCAAGGGCTTGGAGCAGTTGTTGGAGTTCAACCAGTGTCAAAACCTGAGCCAGGGCAGAAAAATGTCAGAGTAGTTCTTGTACTGCTCAGAGGCTGGGGGAGGCCTGGGTAACAAGTGTCTCATGAGAGCTGGTAACAGAGAAAGAATATTTCTCAGAGTAGAAACAGACTTATTTTTTCTTGTGGATACTAAAAGAAAAAAAAGCCCCTTTCCCATTATGTGCTTCACATTTACCCACCTCCTCTGCTGCAAGGGGACAGGATGATCAAAAGGGTAAGTCTGGGGCAGGAGACTTCCCTCAAGCGCCCTCACACCTCTGCCCTTGGACCAGTGGAGCCCATGGACCTTATGGGCAAAGCAAGAGAGGACAGAACTCCAATTGTGCTCTGTCCTTACCAATCCCAGCTGCTCACAAGGACCACCTTAGGAGACACCAAAGCCATAACTGGTTGATGATGGCAGGAGTGAGGGTTTGGCCCTGCTGTGGGTGCCTGAGAGCTCTCAGCACACAGGTGAACTCGCTGTTGTCAGAACCACTTGCTGCTCTTAGCCCCCCGGCTTGGCTGCTGTGGCAGGAACAGGTGGAAAGAGACAGGCTGTAAAACTGCTCCTGGAGCCTTTGAAAATGCAGACAAACACCAGTGGTATGCTCAGATCTTTATTAGGTGGACACCAGTGGTATGCTCAGTTCTTTATTAGGTGGAGGAAGGGCTATAAAGAAATGAAACTCCTAGAACATTCACCACACTGGTGCAGGACAAGAAGGACCAGGAGTTGCCTCCAAGGTCTTTGTTTTAAAAAAAGTGGGGAGGGACAGATGAAGTTTCCATCCAGTAGCTCTGGCTTTCCTGGGAATGTGGCTCAGGGCAAAAAGAGGTACAAGACACAGCTTATACTTTTATTTAAGAAACCGCTACATAGTTTTTGCCTCTAGTGATGCAAAGGAGGTTCCAGGACACACTGAGCCATCCAAAGTCTCTTGCTAGAGAAAAACACCACCAACAAAAAAGCCCCGCACAAACGAAAAATAAAACCCTGTCCTTTTATTTTGATTATTATTAGAAAACTGAAAAATTAACTTGAAACTGCAGCTCAAGGCTACAGTGATGAAACTGCCCCCAAGGGTTTGTCTTCCACAGCAAGACGGTGGGAGGGAGGAAATGAAAGAAAGGGGAAGGCCCACAAAACTTTTTTTTCTTTCTTTCTTTTATTTTCCCCCTCTAAAATAACAGCTATATTTTGGGTCAGGGGGTAAAATCAAACCAACAGGACACATCTTGATTTAGGTTTTTGGAAGGGCAGGTCTCCTTATTTCTCTGAATTTAGAACTGCATTAAATAAATGGGCTCCAGCTCTAAAAAAAAAAGCGCAGTTTGTCTTTGACAGAGCTAAAAATCCATAGAGCTTAAAATACAAAACAAAGAAGGATGCCCTGGTGCAGATGGAAAATGAATAATTAGTTTTCCTACAAAGAAAATAAAACAGGCTGCAAGATGCAGAAAACCACATTTAGGCTCTATTACATTTACAAATACATACATAAATATATTACATATAACAGCAACTCAAAGAGGAAGCGAGTCACACAGAGGATGGCGGCTGGCTGCAGTTCTCCCCGCACAGATGTTTGGCTGAGCAGTAACTTTTCCTAATAATTCAAAGAATGGGCTTCGGCTTTCATTTTCTCTTTTGTTTTCTTTTTTTTTCTTCTTCCTCCTCTCCTTTCATTCTCCCCCCTCTCCCCGGTTTCAGATTTAGTTTGTCCAGTATGGAGAAGTGCCATAGGCGGTTTTGGTAGCCTGAGACTTTTGCTGCATGGTGCTGGGTTGGTTGCGCTGGCCAGATCCACCCTAGAAAAGGGAAACAAAGGAGACAGGATCATCAGCTGCCACAGCACCAGCATTCCCAGGAAGACAAGCTCATCCCAACACTGCAAAGCAATACTCCCCCCTCATCAGATCTGTTTCTACCCTGCACCATCTCTACATCACAGTCCAGGCCAAGCAACCGTGGACACACCAAGCAAGAGCTTGGGAAAGCACTCTCCCACTGCCTCCAAAGCACAGGGGAAGTGAGGAGCAGGGCCAGGCACAGCAAAGGAGCTTTCCCAAGGTGAGGTGAGGTGGTACACCAGACAAGGATGTCACACATTTGGAGCACAAAATCACGTCCTATTACTGGACTCTAAGGCTGAACATGGTTTTTTTCAGGGAATATTTAGTGTTAGGAAAGTAAACACGTGCAGATGAAACCAAATCAAAGCTGACATGCAACCTGCAGGAGATGCTTGATCTTTCCCCAGAATCACAGCACAAGTGCTCACCTGCCTCAGCTTCACACCCCACAGATCATCCCTCCCCAGCCAAGAGCAGGATGGGCTCTTCACACAATCATGGCCTGGCTGAGGCTGGCAGAGGATCTCTACCTCTCAAGAGGTATCTTGTCCAACCCCTTTGCTCAAGCAGGATCACCTAAGAGCCAGCTGCCCAGCATCATTCCCAGACAATTTCAAGGGTGGAGATTCAATCAGCTTCCTGGGCAGTGTTTGGTCACTTAGCAAAAACATTTTATCTGATATTCAGAGGGAACCTCTTGTGTTCCAGTTTCTGACCACTCTCCCTGTTCCTGTCACTGGACACCACTGGAAAGAACCTGGCTCAGTACTCTTTACATCTTCCCTTTCTGCACACTGATGAAATCTCCTCTCATCAGGAGTGCTCTCCAGGCTGAACTGTCCCAATTCCCCTAGCCTTTCCTCACAGAAGACATTATCCAGCCCTTTCATCAATCCTTCATTGGACACTCTCCAGCACATCCATATCTCTCCCACAGTGGGGAGCCAAGCACTGGCCATGATGCTGCAGCTGTGGCCTCACCAGGGTTGAGCAGAGGGCAGGGACTGTCCCTTTTTGCTGCAAGGGCACATTGCTGGATCATGGTCAGCTTGTGCTGACCAGGCCCCCCAGGGCCTTTTCTGCTGAGCTGCTTTCCAGCAGGTGGTCCCTGACATATATTGGTGCATTGGCCTGTTTTCTCCACAGAGACAGGACATGGCATTTCCCCTTACTGAACTTCATGAGGTTCCCTCCTCAAGCTGCTCAACAGCCACTGCTGCCAAGGCCCTTTCCCAGTAGCAAAGCAAACAACAGAAGGAAACAAACACCCCAGGACCCTGCTGGGAAGGGGGAGCAGTGTGCTCCTGGGGATGCTGTAGAGGCACAAGGGGCTTACCTGCCCATCCTGCTGAAGGTGGTGGTGCAGCATCTGAGAATGAGGCTGCTGATGTGCAGGGAGGATATGGAGAAACGGGGCTGGAGCATAACCTGGGGCAGCACCAGGGTTCAGGGGCCCAGTCGATCCGAGAGCAGAAGGCAGGCTGAAGGGAGGCGGAGTGCCAGCATGGAATCCCTGCTTGTCAAATGTCTGCACAGGGGGCAATGAGCACAGGGTCAGAGACTGGTGTGAGTAGCCCCAGCCAGACCAGAACAAGAGTGGCCCAAACACACATCACCTGAACCTTTCACCTACCCCATGGGGAAGCCAAGTCACACTGAATACCTGCAAGCACACCAGAGGATGAATTTCAGCTCCTGTTCTCACCCATATTTCTGCACTAGTGGCTCTTGAAATTTTTATTTTCACAGGCATTGTGGATTTTTTTCCCCTGACCTCTTTCCATTCAGAGGGACATGGGATCACAGCAGCTGCCTAATAAGTTCTTTCCTCACTGAGTGGGCTCAGCCTAAAATTATTCAGCCTATCCAGGGCAGCCCAACAAAAACACAGGAACTTGCAGTAATATTTTCCTCCTGCTGGCCAAAGCTTGACCCCTAAGCACAGAGCTGACAGCTGGCTTCCTACCTGTAAGCATGGATCACAGCCAGACACCGATTTCCCCTGCTGAGGGTGCAGGGAGGAGCAAACAGGAGCTGGACATAAGCCCAGTGCACAGCACAGCTTGACAGAGCACTTTCTGCTTTGCCTGGGGAGCTGTATGCTGAGCAATGGCCACAAGAGAGCTTGGGACAGGGACCCTTGGGTGTTAGAGCTGGGTACTACTGCCTGTCCCTCTGATGGAAAGCAAACAGCCTCTCAACTCACCTGCTTTGGGAACTATTTGTACTAAAAATGCTAACACCCATAACTTCATTTGCACCCAGGACACTGATGGCATGGTGTAGTGTAGGCAGTGTGCAGCACAGGGAGCACTGAGCCTCTGCCAGCAGCTGCTGTCAGGTGCTGACACCGCAGAAACTGTGGGACAGAGGATGAGACTTCACTCCAGCAGCAGACAGAGCCAGTGTTAGGAGATGCCGTGGCCTGCTGACCCTGAGACTGGCCAGCCTGGGAGTAGGAGTCATCAGCCTTGGGGACTGAGGGAGGAGGGTCCAACACTCCTCACCTGAGTCTTGTTATAGACTGAGCCACTGATATCAGGCACACCCGTGTTACTTGAGGTCACAGAAACACCTGGAAAACAGAAATGCCACCAACCGTGAGAATGTCACCCCTCTAGTCAGCATGATCCCAAGCTTTGCTTTCAGCACCTCTGGAAGCCTCTGCCCTTCTAATTCTCCATGATCTCAGACCCACAGCTGAGGGAACAGAAGAAGGGGCTCAGTTTCTTGTTCCCACTGTAAAACTCCACTGGATAAATCACCCAGGTCCACACCCAGCCATTAACACTCAGATTCCAATGCACTTCACCAGGCAGCAGCTGGTTGCACTGACCACTCACTGAAGGCCACGAAAAGCCAGCTTTCCCCTAGGATCAGAGGTGCATTTGGCTCTATTGCAGCATGCAAGAGCTCACCAGTAGTGCCCTGAGTGATGAGACTCAGCATCTCCTACACATCTGAGCCCCTATGCTTCCACATCCTACAGAAGAGTGAAGTCTGCAGTGCTTCTATGCTCTGACAGAATCAGCATCACTGGTTCAGAGACACTTATTCACAATTTTACAGAGTGTGGCTCTGATCATTTCACTTGGATCAGAATAAAGCCAATGGTTGTTTTGTTTGGTGAATCAGAGAACTGGGTTCAAGGTTACTGCTTTAAGCTTTGATTGTAATCCTTCTTGGACACTGCTCCTTCCTGGACTGCTTCTCCATTGAAAAGAGTGTGATCACCTGGTGTTTCAAATGCACAGTGTTTCACCTGGTGTTTCAAGTGCTTGGTATTTGCTTCAGCATGAGCAGTATGTGCCAAACAAAGTTTTTGTATGAGCTAGATAAATTTGTCAGCTTTTATGGTCACAAAGGAAACATTTCCAGGCACAACAATGTTATGAGCATCTACAGGCAGCAGCTAGACAGCCCAGAGATATGTGAAGTGCCCTGATACTCTCTAACATGTGGGTGTCTCAGGTGCCTACCAAGAAGCTTAACATCTAGCTGTGATTTGGCAGAGGATAATTTCAGCAACAGCACTGAACTGCTCAAGTTTCAAAATCACAGCACTGTTGAAGGATCACTATATTCTTCAGCAAAGAAAGCTTTGGCCTAGGAAATAGCTTACCATTTCTCCCATGTATAACTGGACCAAGCTGTGCATCAGCCACACAAATCTTTATGCAAAGTTCAGTCATGAGGTTTAGAAGGAACAAGTGAGCCATTAAAAAAGCATTTTGTGTATGGGAGATGGAGAAACAGCTTGGATCATGACCCTGTTTAGAGCTGGCTGCTGTGTTGACTGCACAGCTCTGGGAGTTTTCCCTACTAAATCCCACTCCAGAGGAACCTCCAGTCTCAAAGTGTTACCTTTCCCAGGTCCAGCGCCAGCTGATTTGTTTTGTGCTTGAGATGATCCACTGTAGCCTCCTTTGCTGTAATCCCCAGTTGCAGTTCCCTGCGTTAAGTCATCGTAGCCTGCCAATGTGCACAAGACAGGGCGTTATGGTGCACAAGAAGGGCTACAGGTGCTCATGGGGCAGCTGGGGCTGAGGGCTTACCTGCACCGTAGCCATGCTGGCTGTAGCCACTCGCCTGCTGGAAGGGAGTCGACGCCGTGTTCAGGTTGACTCCATGCTGTTTTGCAGATGCTGGAGGTACCTGGACAAAGGATGGGAACAAAAGGCACCTTCAGCTGGAACACAGGCTCCCTCTGCCATCTAGTGGGGAAGGCACCTTCCACCTCATGTTGGGAATCCAGTCTAGAGTTGGGAGGACTGGGATGGCACAGGACTGCTGACAGCAGTAACTTGCTATAGTGTATTTGTGTCTCAGGATTTCTCCTAAACCTGTCCCTGTGATTGCAATGCAGCCCTCACTCAGAAGAGGCTGTGTGTTTCTTTCATATGCTGAATGCAAACAGCAAATCTTTACCCACAAACTGAGAAGAACAACCACAGAATCAAAGTAAACATCAATTCCTGCCTGAGGCTGTTCATAAAATACTATCCTACAGGGCCCTAAATAGCCTCATCTACCCTTCTGCCTGGAGCAGCACCTCTTCCCAAATAACCTTTTTCCTCCTGAGACTTCCAGCCCTGCTCTGTGACTTAATGGGTCTCCTCCATCCAGGCTCTCTCAGCTCAATGACTCAGTTTTGTGTCTCCCCTTGATTCTCCAGGGACTAGCAAGGGATTTTAGGAACAGCAAGCCCACAAAATGCAGCTGAAAGCTATTTATAGAAACTTCCACAGGGGTCCATGAGTTCTGGCCTGTTAAATTTTTTGTTTTTTTCTAGATTAGATTAGATTTAGAAGAGATTGCAGCTGTTTTCTCACGTTGCATGTTTTTGGAGATCTCCTGCAGACTGGAGAAGCTGACTCTATTCCATTCTAATGAGAATCCACCTGAATACTGACTCCAGCTCTAGGGCCCTCAGTATGAGGAAGATGTGGACCTCTGGAGCAGATGCAGAGGAGGTCACAAATGATCATGGGGATGAGCTCCTCTCTCCAGTGAGGACAGGCTGACAGGTGGGGGTTTTCATTCTGGAGAAAAGAAGGCTCTAGGGAGACCTTACTGTGACCTTTCTACACTTAAAGGAAGCTTACAGGAAAGATGGGAAAAACATTTTACCAGGCCCTGTAATGACAGGATGAAGGGTGGCTGTTTTAAACTGAAAGATGATAGATTTAGATTAAATATAAAGAAAATATTCATCACCATGAGGGTGGTGTGGCACTAGCAGAGGTTTCCCAGAGAATACATGGATGGCCCATCCCTGGAAGTGTTTAAGGTCAGGCTGGATGGGGCTCTGAGCAACCTGGTCTAGTGGAAGGTGCTCCTGCCCATGGCAGGGGGATTGGAACATGATGGTCTTTGATGATACCTTCCAACCCAAACCTTCCTACAACTCCAAGATGTGGAGTGTTTGGGCTGGAGAAAGTAAAATTGGAGAGGCATGCAGGAAGGGTTACAGTTTAGGCTGTCACACTTACAAACATGGTTGGCCCATATTGGAATGCACTGGGAACACCAGGCATTCCAGCATAGTAAGGGAGCCCAGTGTAGCTGTACCCTGGAGGCAGGGTCGGGTTGAGGAAGGGCTGCTGAGTCGTGTGGTGAGTCTGAGTCTGGTTCTGCTGCGGCTGGGCCAGCGTGGTTGCAGGAGCAGGAGAGGCAGAATCTCCACGGCCAAATTTTGTTACATCACCTGTGAAAGAAAAAACTGATCAGAAAAGCTATCAAAGATACTGCAAAGGTGGAGAATTCAATGGATTTAAATCTTCTGAATGCAAGCAGACAACTACAGAACAGGACACATCCTACACCTGAAAGCCTGCAGGGGTTCATGGGAAGCCCTCACCCAGTCTCTGTTCCTAACAGCCACAGAGATACTGCCTGTTCATGGCACAGGACTCTGTGACATGGCTACTCCATGATAAAGACAGATGCCAATACTCACCTATCTCACATGGTCTGAGCAGACTCATTACTATCAGATCTTTGCAATAAAACATGCTAAAAGCAGAAGCATGGTAAGTAGCCAGAGAGCCAATGGTTGTTGTGTTAAAATGTGACTCTCCTGGAGGTTAACCTGTTTAGCTAAGCTTCATGGGCTGAAAGCAGGTTAGGATTTACAGGCAGTGATGGGTATATTTTTGCCAATGTCTGTTTATTTGACAAGCATGACTAGTTAAGATGTCCAGTTCCTCACACCACCAGAGTTCTGAAGACAGTAGCTGAAGGCCAGGAAAGCAAGGCTTGTATCGTGGGCCACCTTATTGAAGAAGCAGGAAGGGAAATTCAGTTATTAATCCAAAAACAGCCTCCCAAGAGAAGTGATCATGAAGCAGAAAATTCACAAACACTTGTACTTTCTGGCAGCCTACAGAGCAGCATGTTCACATATTTACCAAGGAGGTGACATACATCAATCCCTTCTACCTCACTCCCAATCAAGTATTCCTTTTTTCTGGTTACCAGGAAGTATGACAGCACTTATTACCATCATTATAGGAACTACAATGCTTATGGCTACAGTTTTAAGATATAATCAACTGGCAGTGGATGAAAACTACTGGCTGAAATCCTGGATGGCATTAATATCATCTGTGCACAATGATAGCTTAAGAGCAAGAGCAGGAACAAGGAAGGGCTTCTTTGACCACAGAAGGGAAAAACAACTCCTCTTTGAGCGACAGTAGATGACCTGCACTGAGAAACCAGCATATCTCACTTGCCATCCTTATCTTTAACTAGCACTCACCTGAGTACGGGTTGTTAGCAAGGCTCCCATCTCTGCCTGTCAAGGTTGCAGGAGCAGGGAATGTAATTCCATAGTAATCCTTGGAAAGAGACAACACCATTTATTAATAGTTGAAACTGTAACACAACTGGACAGATCTTATCAACTGCATACTAGACACAGAAGAAAATTCTAAAAGCAAGAACTAAAGGAGGTTTGGGTGGAAGCTGACCTTACATTGTGCAGCAGAACTAAAAATTTACCTGGATCCTCATGCGAAAAACTAATTTACTTTATGGACACTTTTTGTGTTATATACAAATATTTTGTCTCTTAATGGTAAGTTAAAGGCAATAACTAAGTGATTTCCCACACAGCTCCCAGCTCTGAACTGTAATCTTCCAGTGAGACTGCCTAAAAGAGAACTAAGCATTGTGGGTCAAAGGCCTCTGGTCAAGCCAGGACTGTAATCACAACACAGATGTAAGTCTAAGGGGTTTGCCCTCGTACCATGCCCTGTTTCCTAAACATGGAAATGTCAGCTATGAAAACAGCAAAAACTTTAAAAGAGAGAGAGGAATAGTTACTCTATTTATTGGAAATAAATAGAAATAAATGGACAATTTATTTAGACTACTTTGCAGGAGACCTCAGGTCATAGTCTCCAAAATGTGGTGTGTATCACAACCCATTGGAGTGCAGGAAGGAAACAGATTTGGTACCTTTGATAAATACAACTTAAGAGAACTTTAAAACTGTTTGTTTAACCTTTCCTTTTTTCATTTTTATTTTTGTGTATGTTTATAACATATATATTAGTATAGGGGTATATAAAATAATACAGAAATTTTATAGAAATAAAAATAATACTGAAGGTGAGTGCTCACAAATTTTTTGCTGATAGGGTGCATAAAAAAGGTGGAGAGCACTGCCTTAGATAATTCTTTAAGTCTTTTACAAGAAAGTAAGCAATACAAGAAAGCTTGCATTCTGAAATGACAGGACAAGCTAGCAAAACCAAAGCAGTATTTTGACCTCAGTTTCAGAAAAAAAAAAAAGACAAGAAGTTTGCCCTTCTCTCTCTGGGTGAACTCCACCTGTGGGTCTGGTAATCTGTTTTTTACCTCCTAATTTTCACGTTCTACTCCTCACCGCCTCCAACCCAGAAAGAGATAATGTTTTAAGTAGTAATGTATCCTAATGCATCCATTTCCATGTATTTTCAAACACTGGAAAAGTCTCCTCCTTTATCATACCCCTTTCTACAAATGCCATAGCACCTCATATGTTTTCTCAGAGTTGACAGTACCCTCCACCTTGCTCCACTTCTGTGCACCACTTCCCTGTCTCCTACACACAGTCCTCCATCACTGAACATGGAATAATGTGGCAAAGTTTTAGTATTGTAGGTGCTTTCTGTAACTTGTAATGATGTCATTATATCATCAACCTTTCGTCCTCTGGTAATTCCTCCTTAGGAATTAATCACTTGGCAAAACACAACTAAATTCACACTGAAAGTCTTAGCAGGTTATTCGGAATCAGTACTCTTATAACCTTCTGATGAAAATTCTACAAAAAAAAGATCTAGAGAAGAGATGTGAAAACAACTCAAGAAGGTATGAACTGACATACTAAGATTTTCCCCCTATACAAACTGGACAAAATATAATCAAACCTGCATGAGGAGAGGGTGTAAGAGTTGCAATTATTCCCACTGCACCTCAGGAAGGGGAAAACCACATCAGTACTGAATATCTGTATCGTACTTGTGCATACATACATCCAAACTAAAAACTCATTAGAAAATATAAGTGCAAGGCAGTTATGTCTCCAGTTTATGCCTGCCCAAAGGAAAGTATCAGGGAAGACACTTTGCTCTTCAAATGTCCCAGGTATCTCCTGACCTACAAAAGGAGGAAAAAAAGGCTGCCTAAAGCCAAAAGAGCAATATCGGAAATAGGCCCAAAAAGTAAGGCAGAAAAGTATGAAAAAGGGTAAGTGATGAGACATAATAGACCTAAGATCCATTCAGCAGCAGATCACATACCAGCTGACGCATTTTTAAGATCTTTGCAACAGATGAACTGAGAAGACAACATATCCCAATGTAACATACACCAAAAGAACCCAAACAACAAAAAATCCACAGCAAGACTTTACAGCAACAATATGCACGTTACTTGAGTTAAATTAAAAAAATTAAAAAATCTCAGGAGAAAATCCCATTCTTGCTTTATCAGCAACCATGGGGATTTCTTGCTGCTGGAAGTTACACAGGAAGCAGTGATGACTCACTTGGAACTCTGCCCACTTTCACTTTTCCCATGTAAGTGGACTGGCACGTGAAATAGAAATATTCCCACCTGCCCCCAGACCATGTAACACTGCCACATTTTCACAAAAAATTCACAAATAATTAAAAAAAAAATCAAAATCTAGAAAGGACAAGCACTGCATGAATAGTTGGCAAAAAGTCCTTTGTGACATCTGCACATTTATTTCTAAATACCAACATACCTAGGGTAATTAACTCTGGATACAGGGGTATGAGAGATGGCACCAAAAGTATTCTGCAAGATTTTGCAGAGAGATGAAAAGCTCTTGCACTAGCAAAGCTGCAAGTGCCCCAGAAAAAAAAAAATAAATTAATATATATACACACATATAAATAGAATTTTAAAAGACTGATAGACTAACAATATTTGTCAATAAGAAATAAAAGAACATGCAAATTAAACATTATATGCAAATAATATTAAAGCATGAAATAAGAAAAAAACAGATGACAGTAGGTAGAGAAATTTTAAAATAAAACCCAAAAAAGGAAACACACAAAACAGATGAAAAGACAATCCTGTAACACACCCCCAGCAGAGTCATCCGGAAAACTTCTGCCACACTTTAACCTCCTGCAATAGCAGGGTAGCCAGGCTTTCCCCTAGCAGCAGCCCTGAGAAAGTGTCAGCTCCAGTTCTCATAGCAGCGCCCTCCCTGGTAAGTGACAAGCACCAAAGCCCTCAGAAGAAAGCAAACGAAAAAACAAAAGTGAAAACAGAAAAGGGAAATCCTCTAGAAGATGGTGATGAAAGGAAAGCCTGGGCATATAAAACGGCACAGTCGGCAGAACCCCAAGCAAAGCAACGACCAACACCGAGCCAGACCAGGCTCCTTCACAGCACCCAGAGACCCACCATGGCTGTACTTGGATGTGCACAGCCCTGCCAGTGGCACAGCACCCTGGCACTGCTGCTCCTCATCACTGCTCTCGCTGCCAGCCTCCCGTGCCACCACCTGAGGACCCATGATCCCGGCGACGCACTCCGCCTCCTCCAGGACATGGCTCCCAGCCACACACAGCCCTGCCACCTCCAGGAGCCGCCCTTCTTCCCCGACACCCTCCTCCGCGACAACCTCCACCCGCACCAAGCCGCCGACGCCGCCCTACGCATCCTCCAGCACCTCTTCCACACCCTCAGCACCAACAGCACCCGCCAGCACTGGCCCACCCAGGCTCGCAACGACCTCCTCAACAAACTCCAGCACCACATCCACCTCCTCGAGCAGTGCCTCCCCGACAACGCCACGCTCTTCAAAGGACCACGCAACCTGCGGCTCACCATCAACAAGTACTTCAGGAACATCCACCTCTTCCTCCGTGCCCACAACCACAGCGCCTGCGCCTGGGACCACGTCCGCCTCGAAGCTATTGACTGCTTCAAATACATGGACAGACTCATACGGCGAATGAAGCACCACGCTGCTTTGGACCCCACTAAAACCACGGATGGCAAACACCCATCCCCAGCCAGCGGCAGTGGCCACAGATTGAATGGTGACAGCAGCAGCCTAGGCTGGGATCACTCGGTGCCAGTCTCACCTCTTTCAAGCAGAAGGATGAGCTGATGAAGAAAGGGTATGACCATGGTGACACTGGGGTCAGTCTGTGTCACAGCCCACACACCCAAACCATGGCCACTGGAGAGAAAGGAAGAGGAAATTTCTGTGCTACACACTCATGGACAGCTGCGGGGAGATACAGATGGTACTTATTACATGTGGAATTATCACGTTCATCCAGACTGCAACCTCACCTGATGAATGAGATGGGGATCAATGACACTGGGGAGCTACTGTGGGACTTTTATGCCAATCTCTATTTATCACAGAACTCTGTTTACTTACTTATTTATTTAATTAACTTAGTAGCTTATTTATTTATTTGGCCGGCCAGTTGTTTATTTATTTATTTATTCTTTTCTTATAAATAAAAACTTTTTGTAAAAACAAAAAGGAATGAAAAAGCAAAGCTGTGGTCATTGTGCTTCATGCTTGTACCTGACAGGGAAAGACAGTCCCCTCAGGCAGGCAGGCAGGCAGGCAGGCAGGCAGGCAGGCAGGCCTGAGTCTCCCTCCTGCAGCCTGTCTTGCCGATGCCTCCTGCCTACAGATAGCAGACAGTTCTCAGGGAATGGTGGTCCTGCAGCCCCCAGGTATCTCTTACAGCTGCCAGACTGCTGGGGCACCCATTTGCCCCAGACAGCATGATGCCTGCCCTGCATACTTCCTCCTCTCCCACCACCACACTCTCCCTTCCAGACCCCCCAGTAATGCCGAGACACGAAAGCCACTTCCAAACCATCATCCCACCACAACAGACCATTCTGCAATGCCACAGCACTGCTTTGGAAGCAACAGGGTGGTACAGACAAGGTGCACCTCAGAGAATCAAGGAGGGGACCCATCAAGGTCTGCAGAGATCTGGACAAGGAACAGAAGCCCAGTGCTACTAACTCCACCCAAGAAACACCAAAAAGACACAAAGCCCACAGGAGATGTCCAGAACTGGTCACTGCTCTGCTATGGCTGCAACTGGTCCAGGATGCTCTTGCCTGTGCTTATACCCCAGTGGCTATGGAGACCTGATGCAGTACACAGAACACATGGTCCTTGTCCCTCTTTACCCCAGCACATCACTAGCAAGCAAAGAGATCCATCACCCAAACATAAGCACCCAACATGGTCCAACCCAACCAGCACAGCATTCCCCATGAAGGAAACTGCTCACACATCATTAGCACCAGCTGCTCCTTCACCCTCCAACCACCAACCCAAAAGTGTGTCCCCAGGTCAACAGCTCTGGCCTCCTTTTGCATGGGACAAAGAGGTTGGGAAACAACCTCTTGTGCTAAACCAACCTCCATCACTGCATCACTGCAAAGACACTGCTCCGTGCAAACCCCTGTTCAGCTGAGTAAGAAAACAAGAGGGCCAAATACAGAATCATAGAACCATTAAGATTGGAAAATACCTCTAAGATCATCAAGCCCAGCCTTTGACCAAATACCACTAAGCCATATCATGAAGTGGCACATCTAATCAATTTTTGAACACTTCCAGGGATGGTGACCTCCATCGCTTCCCTAGGGAGCCTGCTCCAATGCTTGACCACTCCTTCAGTGAAGAAATTTTCCCTAGTATCCAACCTGAACCTCCTCTGGCACAACTTGAGGACATTTTCCCTTCCTATTGCTAGTTGCTGGGAGAAAAGGCCAATCCTCACATGGTTATAACCTTCTTTTAGATTGTTGTAGAGAGCAATAAGGTTCCCCCACACTAAACTCCTCCAGTTCCCTCAGCTGCTCCTCATATGACTGACTCTATAGACCCTTCCCCAGCCCTGTTTCTTCCTCTGGACATGCTCTCACGGTCCATCTTGCTGTGAGGAAACAAAGCTGAACACAAGATTCAAAGTGTGGCCTCACCAGTGCCCCCAGCACAGGGAGATGAGCACTGCCCAGGTCCTGCTGGCCACACTACTGCTGACACAAGCCCGGTGTTATTTGCCTTCTTGGCCACCTGGGCACACTCCAGCTCATGTCCAGCCACCAAAAAACAGCACCTCCAGGTCCTTTGCCACTGAGCAGATTTCCAGCCACTCTGTCCCAGCCTGGAGCTGCAGGGGGTTGTTGTGACCCAAGGGCAGGACCCAGCGCTTGGCCTTGTTGAACCTCACACAATTGGCCTCAGCCCATGGATCCAGCCTGTGCAGATCCCTCTGCAGAGCCTTCCTGACCTCCAGAAGATCCACACTCCACCCAACTTGGTGTTCTCAAACTGACTAAAGGAGCTCTTGATTCCCTCATTCAGATCATCAATAAAAGTAACAGTGCCCCAGCAGAGAGCCCTGGGGCACACCACTAGTGACCAGCCCCAGCTGGGTGTAATTCCATGCACCAGCACTCAGGGTAGGGACATCAGCCAGTTTTTAACTCAGAGAGCAGAGCATCCAAGCCAAGTGTATCTAGGAGAATTCTATGGGATACAGGGTCATAGACTTTCCTGAAGTCCAGGAAGTCAGAATCCCCAGACTTTCCCTAATCCACTAAAAGGGTCACTGTGTTACAGAAGGAGACAGGGTTATGCATTCCACAAATCCAGCTGGCTGGGCCTGATCCCCTGGATCTCTTGTATGTGCCATGTGATGGATACTGAAGAAGATCTCCATGAGCTTCCCCAGCACTGAGGTCAGGCTGACAGGCCCTTAGCTCTCCAGATTCTACTTCTGACCCTTTCTACAGATAAGCATTACATTGGCCACCCTCCAGTTGCCTGGGACCTACTTGGTTAGCCAGGACTGCTGGTAAATGATGGGGAGTAGCTTGGTGAGCTTTTCCACCAGCTCTCTTATAGATTCAGGTACACAGAAGGACCCCTCAAGATGAAACTTTCACATTGTACCATAGTCCTCCTATCCAGAAATACCCTGTGATGTCAGGAATGAGAACCTCATTGGTTCTGTCTTTTCTGAGACAACTGAAGGAACCAAACCACTCTCAGACAAAAACAGGAGCAGTGGTAATGACACAAGCTGGAATACAAGGAATTCAAACATGAAAGAATAAATCCATTAGTATTATTTTTTGTATTCTGTTGATACAATACCAACAACCAAAATAGGAATTAGGTTGAGTGGTATCCATTCCTGGAGACATATCTCAAAGCATCACTGGACAAGGCCATGAGCAGGCTCTTCTGATACCATCTCCTCTCAGCACCACACGTACTTGGGATATCCAGGGCAAAAGAGACAATTACAATAATTTTTTAAAAATCCTTTATTGTTCAAAAGCAACAGCTTAGAGGAGACTTCTTAAACCCCACTACCATGAAAGTCAAACTGCAAAACGGAATCAAGCGACTGCAGAAACTTCATCAACAAACATTCAGGTGCTTACACCCAAAGCATCCTCCTCAACTTAACGGCTAAACAAGCTGTCTTGGGCTGCAATGCAAGATGTAACCAAAAGTGTGTGTTCTATTATCAGCTGTTTAAACCAGGTAGGGCAGTGTTCTTTACCTCCTCCTTGACCCATCCTCCCTTCAGGGGGATGAATATCTTCTGTTGGTGGGCGACTGAGCCTCACTTCATGACTGATAAAATTACATCACCCCATTGTGAGATGCTCCACCCAGGGGGAGGAGCCCAGCATTCCTACCTGGATATAATCTCAGATTTGGAACACCAACACAACCTTTCTCCACTGGATTCTCAGAGGAAGACTGGACCAATCTACACCACCACTGGACCTTCAGAGAAAAGCTACAGCCTTCTACAGGATCATTGCTTCAACAGAACCACATCTGTCACTCCAGGAGGACTGCAGTCACCATTTAATTGGACTGCTACCAACACCTTGACCAATAGGGGTGTCAGATTGTGTCCTGACTCTGTCAGTGGCTTGTGGTTTTTTGGCACTACTGCACTTTAATTTTATTAGTAAAAAATTGTTACTCCTATTCCCATATCTTTCCCTGAGAGCCCCTTGATTTCAAGATTATAGTAACTCAGAGCTGGGGGGGATGTTTAATTTTTTTCCATTTCAAGGGAGGTCTCTGCCTTTCTTAGCAGACACCTGTCTTTTCAAACCAAGACATGAGCTCCTGAGAAATAAACCACTTCACAGCTCTTTCAAAGGCTAAAAAGAACAATTTACTCATATTAATACAAAGAAAACAAGCATACCATAGGTAAAAAACAAACAAGCAAAACCTAATGGATAATTACAAAAAGCCTGAGAAGTGCCCAAGAATGGAAGCTTTGGACAACATTAATCAGTGAAGGCTTCCCACTTAGGCTCAGAAAGGACCTCCTTGCTTGCTAAACTTCTTCTCAGAGAAGTCTGGGAGAAGTTTAATCAATCCTAGTCCCAGACTTGAAAAACGGTTAGCCTCTAAAGAATTATAAAAGTGTAATTCAGTCTTTATATGACCTTGTCCTGCAAAATTATGGACATATTTATTTATACACTTATATAGAATAGCAATAACATATATATCTATTATGATATATAATATACATTACATATATATATAATATATATAATATATATTTTATATATATAATATAATTATATGGGGAAAACAAATTATTAAAAAGGATTATGACAATGATCAAAGAATTTTGATCAGAACTGTCTATGACACATAATAGATAGCTACAACTACTTCTACAGAGCTCAAGTATACCAGTCCTTTAAAAGCCAACTTAATAATGAACTGGAGTACAAAACAATTAACCCAAAGACTTTTGTTCAGCCTGAAGGAATAAATTTGAGTCTCCCCACTCAAAGGAGGAATTTCCATGCACACTAGTAGAAGGCGTGTGCTGGACATCCCTGCATTTAAGGTGTGCAACTGGAATCTTAACAGAATAAAATGACTGACTCTAATACATTATAAGGTAGGACAGCGCAAGCAGTTAAGCACCACACATGTAACTTGCCAGTTACTTGTTAGTAAATTACCAGCATTACAACTACCTTTTCTCTACAGTACTAACCGTAGACAAATGCCACCAGTGCACTCATTCTCAGTCACAAAATACAACATTAAAAATCCTTAAAATGCTCAACTTCAGAAAAATTCAGAGAGATTGATTTGAACACACTTCAAAACAAAAAACTTCCTGTGTCTACACTTACAAATGAGTTTAGGAAAAAGGGTAAAATCCAAGATACTATATGACGAGTGAAGTACAGCTTCCTCCCAACAGCAAAAAGGGAAATGCAGGAAAACACAGGAGGAACGAGACATGCCCCCAGAGAGAAAGAAAAAAACCACAAAAACCCCAAAACATCAGTGAAAATGATTGACGTGCATCGACTTGGAATTTCAAACCCAACAAACAACAAAAAACACAACACCAAAACTACCTCCAGAAGCATAAAGAAAATAACCAAAACCACCCTCAGCCACGGACACCCCAGCTAAACCCTGCCTGCCCCGAGACCACTACAGCCACCAGCCCAAACTAGAAACCACGGGCGGAAACCCCCAGCAATCGGAAAGCGAAGAAGAGAAAGCTGCCGCCATACAAAGCCGCACGCCCGGCGGCGTCCCAAGCACAGCCACCAGCACCAGCAGCACTGCCGAGCCTCGCCGGGCTCCTGCTCAGCACCGGCCAACAGCACCCACAGAGCCACCATGGCTGCGCTCAAAGCCCCACAGACACGCCTGCCGCACGCCGCTCCGGTGCTCCCGCTCCTCCTCACCGCTCTCGCCACCGCCCTCGCCTGCCAACAGCTCTGGACACACGACGACGCCTTCCCTGGCGACGCACTCCGCCTCCTCCAGGACATGGCTCCCAGCCACACACAGCCCTGCCACCTCCAGGAGCCGCCCTTCTTCCCCGACACCCTCCTCCGCGACAACCTCCACCCGCACCAAGCCGCCGACGCCGCCCTACGCATCCTCCAGCACCTCTTCCACACCCTCAGCACCAACAGCACCCGCCAGCACTGGCCCACCCAGGCTCGCAACGACCTCCTCAACAAACTCCAGCACCACATCCACCTCCTCGAGCAGTGCCTCCCCGACAACGCCACGCTCTTCAAAGGACCTCGCAACCTGCTGCTCACCATCAACAAGTACTTCAGGGACATCCACCTCTTCCTCCGTGCCCACAACCACAGCGCCTGCGCCTGGGACCACGTCCGCCTCGAAGCTCGCGCCTCTTTGCAGCACCTCCACAACCTCACACGCACCATGCGCCGCTAGCACAAACGCCCACACCCCAAAAAACCCACCTCCAGCCTCACCCGCCCGCCCCGGGACAAACGACATGCCTGTAACAACCGCCCGGCACCCGGAGCCTGCAACCACTGCGTCTCCGTTCATTAGGACTGAAGACTTTCTCTAGCCAATTATTTATTTGTGCCTTCATTTATTTATTTATTTATTTATTTATTTATTCATTCACCTATTTATTTACTTTATTTATTTATGTATTTATTTTTCTACTTACTTGCTCTTTTATGCCACGGAAAATAAAGACCTATGACAAAACAACTGCCACTGCCTCTTGTCTCACTAGCACACTGCAACCGCTCTTTGGGCCGGGGGAAAGCCTTCTCCGTTCAACACCAGCTCCAAGCCCGGCACCAAACACTCCCTGCCCACTCTTCTCACTGGCCGAGCAGCATCCTGTAGCAACCACTTGGGAAAAAAACATTGCCAGCGTTTGGCCAACACCCCAGAATCACCACCCAAAAACAAGGAAGCGCTAAGCTTGGAAAGCACCGCTGCAGCTCATCTGCTTCACCCGCACCACGCTCCATACTTACTTGCTATTTTGCAATAGGAATTACGGTGCTATATGCCACCGAAAATAAAGACTTATGATAAAACAATTGCCACTGCCTCTATACTTACTAGCACTGCAACCAGTCTCTAGCCCAGGGAAAAGCCACCTTCTCTCAACATCTATTCCAAGCCCTTCTCCAAATAGGGCTTTGCAGATGTCCTGCGCACTCTTCTCACTGCACCTGTATAACGAGGATCTGGCATCACCCTCTTCGGATATACTTAACTACGTGTTGGGTATCATCACCTCAATGAAGAGTCTTTTTCCCTTTTCCATTTACTAGTTTTCCACTCCCTTCCCAGTTTTCGTCCTCATTACTCAGGACACACGGACCTATTTGAAAAGGTCCACTAGAGGGCCACCCACTGAATCAGTGTCAGAGCATTCTGCTTTGAAGACAGAAGATAGAGCTGGACTTCTTCAGCCCGGACAAGAGAAGGCTTTGTGCACACCTTACTGCAGCCTTTTCAACATTTCAAGGTATCTTACAAAAAAGAAGCAAACCCAATTTTGAACAGTATCTGCAGTGACACAAAATGGACTACAGGGAATATCTCTAAACCCGAAGACAGTAAGTTTAAATCAGGCATTAGGTAGAAATTTTTTACTATGAGGACTGTGAGGCACTGGAACAATCCTAGAGGTACCTAGATTACCACATCCCTGAAAGTATTCAAGGCCAGACTGGATGGGGCTTTCTGCACTGTGGTTCAGGAGAAGGTTTCCCTTGCTATAGCAGAGGCGCTTCTTCCAACATAAAGCATTTTAAGACTCATGTTGAAGTTTTGGAGGACTGTGGAACCAAAATGGGAGCAGAGAAGAGTGTGAGGAGGAAGGAGCATCTGTGTGATGGCACAGAAGGCTGTCCCACTCCCCATCCTCCTATGCCACCTGGGAGATGAAGGCAGAGACAATCATGAGTGAAACTAAGTCCAGGAAAACATGAGAGGTGAAGGGAAGATATTCTGTATATTTGGTTTTATTATCTACTTACTATTTGCCCTGATTTTATTGCTAATGAGTTAGACTAATTTCCCCAAGTCAAATCTCTTTTGCCCGTGACCATAACCAGCGAATAATTTCTCCCTGCATTTATCATACTCCACATGCCTTTCAGGATTTATTTTCTCCCTTGACCAGATGACAGGGGGAGTGATAGAGCAGCTTGGTGGCCACCAGGCATTTAGTTAGTGTTAACACATTACAGTATATGTCTCCTGCCCCTGGCAACTTCAAATATTTTGCATCTTGTTGCCACAAAAATAATTCCATACATTTCAGTTGACAGTTCTTTAAGTATCACAACTTTCTCTGGTAAGAGTCTTTATTCATGTGCTCAACTTCGGGGTTTTTTTTAATTCAGGGTCTGCAGTCTGACAGAGCTTTGTCTGAGTCATCCCCGTACTCACCTTTAAACTATCTGACTCTGGCTGCTCTAGGCTCTACATGGAATATTTGGTACTTATTTGGGACTTACATTTGGGACACATTACCTATGGCATTCATCCAATCTTCCCAGATCACTGCTCACTGCTCCTTTCTGCCTCTAGAGATATACTGCATCACTCTAGTATGTAACTGTTCTCAGTTACCTATTACTACCAAACCTTTTGTCCAAGTTCTACCTACACTTCTGTCAGGAAAATTCTTTATCATTTTGCAATCTAGATTGAGGCCCTTTTTGAATCCATCTGTGAGCTCAGCCTGTCCCATATGCCATCTGCATTCTGGATCCAGATAAGATAAAACACTTTGCACACGCTCCCTCCTGCAACTCACCTGCATTTGCTGCCATGATGCATATGCAAATATCAACACCTATGAGCACCTCCAAAACCTGTCAGATACATCTACTGGCTACCAACTTGTGTACTTGCTGTTCAGTCTTATCTCTTGGTAAAAGAAAACACTTCGACTTCAACTAGATTAGACAAAATGTAATTATGTTGCTACAAAAATTAGGCATTTCTCCACTCAGGAGCATAGAGCACACTTGTGTTGCTTTAGAGATTTTTCAGCTGGACACATGCATGATTGAACAGTTGCTCTGTATCAATTTACACAATCCTTGTGTAAATTTAAGAAAGAAATACGGAACATAAGGAAAAGTTCTTAACCACTGTTAAATGAATCAATTTATGTGGCACAAATGGTCAACAGTGAAGACAACTTGTTTAAAATTAAAGTCATTTACTTACCATTGGCAGTCTGGATTGAAGCATCTGGAGATCATCATAACCATAAATCTGCTTAAAGACAGATAAAAATACAACATCATTATAACACTTTTTTTCTGATGGTGATCAATTTGGGGCTTTGAACTGAGTTTGACTTAAGCCCAGTCTGTGTTAAAGGTCTACAGCCGTATGTCGCTTTGCGCTATCATTGGGCACTGTAGCACTTCAAGGAGAGTAGAACTGAAGTTAAAAAGGCTTGTCACTCTGATGTTGTTTCCTGGTGACAATGTCCTCTGAGGAGAGTTTGACTGTCCCATCTTCAATACAGTTTTCACAGACACATCATTCCTGAACTCATGAAAAATCTACCGGACATTCAGATTTAGGAGCAAGAACAACAGCCCTCTTTGCTGTAATCATTGCTTCAAAGATCATTAAGATTAAAGAGTTGATGATTTGACCACAACACAACCTCCTGGGTATCTCCTCACATTCAGTTTGATAGAGAAAAATCACTGATAAAAAACAGATAACCCAAAATACGTTGATGCTGGTCAGACATCAAAAAGCTATGTGTAGTCTTTCAAACCATGACAGACAGGACATGTGACACATACCAGTCACTGCCATATTAAATCCATTCCAGTACCACAAACCTAAAGAAACCAAAATTTATTCAAAGGGCCTAAAACCTGTTAACACTGAAAACCATAGCCACACCCATATTTAGCTTCAACAGCAGCCAGATCAGGTCTGTACCAAAAGCTCTACAGTTTACAATCAACAGTAAGCCTCTACTGAACATATTTAAGATATTGTTTATCATATGGAACAAGAATTCCAGGTGTAACATGTGCCACCAGAAATGCCTTGGCATAGACAGTAGCAGGTCTGGAGGGCCCACTTGCGCCAAGGGCTAAGAAATCAAAGACAGAAACAATGAAACTGCTTACTGGGTAGGCAGGCAGAAGTCCTCCAGGTCCCACAATATACTGGTTATGCAACAAGGGTGGTACACCTTGGGGCAGGTTTGGGGGAGCTTTGCCTGTAGAATCAAAATACAGACACTTTAACAAGCCTTTAGAGAAGAAGAGGCTTCAGCATTGAGACAAGATAGCTCACAAGTTGTGGCAGCTGCACCATCTTAGATTATAAAGAGGAGACTTTGTGCCATTTGATGAATATGCTCAAAATAGCCTGAAGAGTTTAACCATGCCTCAAGGGAGGGAAAGCACAGGCGACTTAAGCCTGAAAACAGTCCTACCAGAGAATAGTGTGATTTTGTCATTTACTTGGTCGAAGAGGATTACAAGAATTACAGAAATTTCTCTTTTGCTCAGTCCTTTCCTGAAGGCAAATATAGATATCATTCTTAATCTGAGAGAGCAAATTCTCTTCTTTCATTTCCTGCTCTGTCAACACATTCCCTTTATCACTAGTAATAGACTGGAAAGCACTAAATGCTTGCAGCATGCTTTCTGTGGGTGACTTACTACAGCTAGGAATAGCAAAGAGAAGACTTAAACAGTTTCAGCTGCCTTCACGAAGCAGAACAGGACAAGAACAATGCACTCTGGTCAGCCCTAAGACACTTCCTTTACAAGCTATAGAAATGAGAAATACTTCTGTAACTAAGCCTGATCCTTAATAATACATCACTCACTTCTCTCTACAAGATTTTCTTTTAGCATTTCAGGATCATCAGAGAAGAAAGAGAATTTAGCATCACTTCCACTTCAGTGCAAGAAACCTCCCAGCCCTCTTTCTCCATGGACCCTCCTCCTGAAGTGCTATTTGCTGTGCAATGACCCAGACATTTTCCCTTCCTGTAGAAGTGGCAGTATGGGACGTGACATACGATAATGAGGACACTGCAGTATATTCTGATACTGCCAAATGAATTCAAGTCACAGAAAAGCCTGAAACTAAAGCTTATGTGAACTCACAGTCAAGAGCTGATCATAACCTGGAATACAAGCTGGGTGAATTTTCTAGTCCAAAACTTCCCAAGTTAGAACTGCTCTGTGTATTTATAAAGCTCTTTCAGGATGGAATGTGCTGTAAGAATGCCACATAACACCCTAACAAATATTTCAAATAAGTAAAACCAGGCGACTTTATTTCATAAGCCAGCAAATACAGCATGCTGGAAATGTCAGTGAAGAGTGTGGACTTCTTAGCGTTGTTATGGTGGGTGAGATGCTCAACTGACAGCCCTGCTGACTGAAATCCTCTGTCTATCCACGTGATCAGTCAATATTGCCAACCTGAAGACACTAAGGGAGCTGCCCGTGTGGTAGCAGCTGGTATAGACACACTGGTAACACTCAGGCCAAGGCTGTTTGTAGTGTTCATACTGCTTGCCATGCTGACAACCGAGGAGGTGGTGCTAGTGGCTGAGGTTGAAGCAGTTGAAAAGGTTGTTGAGGGCTGGAGCGAAGTTGTGTTCTCAATACTAGCGTGCTAGAAAAGGAGACAAAAATAATGAGGATCACAGAGCAAATAAACCACAGTGGAAGAAGCTGGGAAAAAGGGAAAATAAAAAAAAACCAACAACCAAAACTTTAAAAATAACAGCAGCACATGCAGAAGATATGCATTATCTATGTACCAAGAAAGCAACTAAGTTGCATGCTTGTGATGTTTTTGTGATTTAAAGAAAATTATTGTATGAGAGCTAAACTCAAATTTCTATACCATCACAAAATTATAATACAGTAACTCAAACATAACATATATCATTCCATCACCTGCATTTTGTCAGCTAACCTCCCCAGTGCTCTCCAGACTGCTAACAGTCCACATTCTGGAGACATTTCAGACTGCCACTTTGAAGCCTGTTTTTTGTTTTGTTTTTTTTATTTAATAAACTAATTGAAGCAATTTTTTTTTATTTCATCCCCCTCTAGGTGGCACAACTTCCCTCACAGATCTGTGACTGGCAAGTCTCTGTAATACCTATTCCTGATCCAGTACAAATCACAAGTGGTAATCACTTTTCCCCCACTAGAGGGCTGACATTCTTTCTTCCCTGAGCTAAGGCTCTTGTTTTGGTTCTTGGGTTACTGAGACACATCCAGCTTTAAGACACACTCCTAATTATGAGATAAATTGACTATGCCAAGCACTTATTTTACTAACAGGGCTTACCACATGTGATGTGCTTGAAGACAACACTGAGGCAGGAGAGAGGCTGCTCTGATGACTGGAAAGGGAGCTAGAAGGAAATTGCGAAGAATTAGTAAGATATTTTTTTCCTTTTTAACAAAAACAGATATGCAGTAAGACATTAGTTGAAGAATAAAAATTCTAGGTATGTGTGCACACCTTGAGTAACAGAACAGTTAAAGAAAAAAATACATGTAAGAGTGTGTGTATACAGACACCTTTACAGGCACTTTTCCCCTTAATTAGTATCCTACCAATTTTAATGATCAAAATTAAGTGCGGAGTCATTATTACTAACAAGAAACATCTAAAACACCATTCATTTTATTTTATTTATGTATTTATGTATTTTTCAATTTACTATATCTTCAGAAAAACTATAGCTGCTTCAGAAATCAAATAGCAATGACTCCATGACATATGAAGTCCAAAATTAAAACAAGACTCACACCCGCAGAAGCCCTGTTACTTATTCTTTCTCTGCTGCTGTTTATCGTGGTGGACAGGTTTTAAGTGCTTTGGTTTGACCCACTGTGGTGTTTCTCACATTTTGAGCTGCATAACATTAACTCAACCAATTAGAACTGCAGGGTATTTGCCAGATTCATCCAGAGATCTTCAAATGTTTCTCTGAAAGGTGACTGAAACTAGCACTTAAACATTTGAACTGACAAGTTATGCCTTATATTCAAGGTCAAGAATGTAAACTACTCTGTATAGTATGCAATAAACTGAAACAAAACTGAACAAAGGTAATCAAAATTAAGTTATAAAACACATGTTTGAGTTTGGTACTCAAAAAACCTCCTCCTTACTAAATAAGAATCAGGAGAGATCCTAACAACAAAATTAGTTTAGTGCTCTCTCTGGAAACAGACACAAGAAAAAACAGCAGTTTTCATATCAAAAGTGACAGCTGCATTACATGATCTAATTTAAGGGCAAACACTTCTGGTACCTCTTCAAGGAGTGGGCCCAGAATAAACTTTTGCAGTTCCATAGATTAACTTTCAAAACTGTCCCCCTTCTTCAGGAATCACAACAGTATCTCTTTAGGCAAGAAGGGAAAACACACGAGTTTTATACCACTCACTCGCCCACTCTTCCCAGCTCTTTTGATAAGCCTTAATTCACCATCTGACCTATGGCAGAGACACACACTACAGTCATCAGCTCTACCAAGTCAGATGGATTTCAAATTCAGGCATCCTGATGATGGATGAAATTTTGTATCTGTCAGCATCAACCCCCACCTGAAATTTATACAGCTTTTCAACAAATCAGTGTGGGGAAATGCGACCAATGTAAAGGGAATAGTTCTTGTTTGACATATTTACTATTTTATTCAACAAAAACGTACTAGAGTGTTAAACGAAAACAAACTATATCCTTGCTGTGAAACAGGAAAAAGACCCCCAATATCCCAAATCAGTTTCTTGTATTAACAAATACAGTACAAAGGTGAGTATAAAAAAATACAACACAATCAATACACTTTCAGGATGTCATTTTGATACTTTTTTCAGGTTTACCTAAAAACAGAGGCCAGACAAAATTAAGAGAATAAGAAGTGGTTATATTTATTGAAGGGCCTTCAAGTACATTAAGAGCAGATGAAGCCTCCCCAGAGGCTACACCTAAAAATGGATGACCAGTCATGAGTTTCCACACTTTCATAAGTGGAATATCCAAATATCCATTTGCATATTGGGGGTTAATCTTCCAGTCACAGCTTCAGGTAATGAAGTCATTTACCCCAGGTTTACTCCCCCCCAACTCACTTTGGTTTACATTTCTCAGGGGCTGAGACAGTGAAGGGAGCTTGATTCCCAGGCCTAGAGAGGAACGAGAATTGTGTCTTCACATTCTAAAATGTGAAGACAGAAGCTAACACTCTATAGAGAGTTTAGAATTATACACTAAAGAATTACAGGATTACAAATACATGAAAAATAAAAAAGCTAAAATCCTAAGGAATCAATCTGACTGAGGACATAATAGGCATTCAGAAAAAGAGAGACACAGTGCAAATGAGCTGAATTGTGCTAGATACACTTCCAGGAACATCCATCTGATATTCTGAAATATCTAAAGGAAGTATCTTAGAAAAAGAAAGCACACACAGTTTTCCTGTGAAATTATTTCTGGGTTTTAATTTTAACAAACAAATACAAATGAGACTACACGATTTCAAATTGGCCATGTAGTAAACTGTTAAAAAATTATTTCAAACATATGACACTGAACAAAAACAGCAGGCACAAAATAGGGAAAAATAAACTGGGGGAATCAATTTAGCTGATTTAGCTAGCACGATTGAAGTAAACCTCTTGAAATGCAAAGCTGTGTATGTATAATGAAAGCATGAGGGCAGAAGATGCTCTGCCATTAGGAGGCAGCCCAGAGCTCATACTTTGCAACCAAACATTCTGCTCTCTTCTGAATCTCTCTCCTAATTCTGGTTCATATCAGAAAAGGGACCCTTGGTCCCTGACAGCCCCATGTTGGAACCACCCTTACACCTGTCCTATCCCTAAAACTGACCCCCTCAGTTTATCACAACTCTACTGTACCTGCTCAGCTGGGAGAGTGAGCTGCTGGCCAGATCACTGGACTGAGGCAAGCTGGGTAATGCTGCCACATGCTGCGATGCTGAAGGCAGAAGAGAGGCCGTGGTGGATGCCACACTAGGCAGAGAACCAGCTGAAGGTAGTGAAGGAGAAGGCTCTGTCTTAGGTGCTGCAACTGAAGAAGTAGCTGCAACAAGTTAAAAAGAGGCACTCAAATGAAAATTCCAGCATGCTTTACATCTCAGCCCAGATGGCAGGAACACAGTAGCACTCTCCCCTTGGTTTGCAAAAATCTGACCATAAGAACTGGTAACCACATCAAGCAATTTGGCTATGAAGGAAAATTCAAACACAACAGAACTACCATTTTTTTGTCCCTTTAAGCGCCCTACTTATAATAAATTTACAGTTATCACTGCTACACACATAGTAAACTACCATCTTCAGCACATCACCTGCAACTATCTGGATTACTAATTTAGGCTTACAAGTCATTTTAAAATTCCTTGCTTTTGGTTCAGCAAACACAAGTCATTCCTGCCTTTTCAAGGCACTGTACAAATCTAGTTTCACCTACAGCTCTGTTTCTTCATTCCATCCCACACAGCACCTTTGGTGATCAAGACTGAGATTGCTGGAGTACAGGGGTAGATAACTTATCGTTTTGGTATATTCAGTCAAAAGTCTATCGTAGTAGAATGAAAAAATCTACAATGAAACACCAGAACTGAGCACAGCATTAAGCATTTTTTATGGCTAAGAAGCTGTCAAATATTGACTCACTTTACTCAGATAATAAAAAGTGTTAGGTTTTATCTTACACTTTCTAGGCTTCACAGATTAAAACTTGTTTATAGAATCACTATACTGTAATAAGATGCATAAAAATTCTACTGCCCAACATGATTCCCAGCTGTTTCACTTATTTCTTCTCCTACAAAAATAACAAAGAATTAGAGACACACACTCACCAATAAAACTTGGACAATAGTTGAGCCCTACCTTCTGCTGGGCCATGTTCCCACACCACAACAGGGACCACTACCCAGTGGATCATCACTAACTCGTAACATATGTGAAGACACTTTTAGACTGGTCACCAAACAAAAATCAAATACACACTTGGAAGTTATATATTAGAGTTTATTCACTTTGATTTCCTACTTAAATGACCAAAGTCAGGTTGTTGGTTTGCAATGCAAACAGCAATCGAGAGGTCCTAGCTCTGGTAATAAGTATGACCTCTTAGAGAAGAAAATCCAAGTGACAAACATGGTTATGAAGGCAGCAACTATATCACCTAATAACTCCTGGTGAAACTCACATAAAACAGGAGTAAATAGTATTTAAAACTCCTGACATAAGAGCAGGATTTTCATCTTGAAGTAAAAGTAGATGTCCTCAACTGGGACAAAAATCACCATCTTAAGATCCCCTACAAGATGCCTGAATGCAATGTGCAAGACAAAGAAAACCAGGAGACAAGTAGGATGGTCAGAAGTAAAACACATCAGCCATACTTTGAATTAAGGATTTAGAAAGCTCAAGACGTGGGTATTAAAGAAGAACAGCAAAGAAGAGAGATTAACAACTAAGAACGCTATAGCACATACAGAAGGGAAAAAGTACTTACAAAAGTTAAGACAAATTCAAAATAATTTGGATGAATAAAATAGACTCAATGGAAGAAGAAAACAGAAATGCTCTCAAAGGAGAACTGGCACAGGAAAAGAGACTAATAAATCTATTACAGAATACCAAAGTATTAGGAATTCTCAGATTTTTATTTTCTGTAGAAAAAAGGTTCTGCAGTGAATTTTATAAACTGTTTATTAACCCTGTAACAGTTTTCATGGTGAAAAGCTGTCTTTGTATAGGTCCATCTTTTACATAGTAACTCTTGGAGCGCATACACTCCTGCTCCTTTAAATTCAACTTTGCACTGTCCCACTAATGGCCTAGCTGAAGAGATGTTTAAGAGGAGGTTAGATCTAAAATTGAGGTGTTGGAAGATATTAAGATATTAATTCACCCCACCTGTGCCTGAAAACTTCCACAGAGCAGCACAAAGATCAGAAAAGTGAATACTACAATTATTTTAACTCCCAAGTAGAGAACTGCAGCCCTGCTACAGGTCCATGCAACATTGGAAGCAGGCCAAGATGAAGTAACTAACACATTTACCAGAGTTAATACTGGGGTATTGTTTGCAAGGTATCAAGAAACTCAGAAGAGGGAACATGTCCCTCACCTTTATTCCCCACAGGCTTCTAAGAGGGCAGAGACAGAACTTTATCTAGTGAGAGGTACACTCAAAGAATGTGACTTTGTTTCATTTGTTTCATAAATACTATTTGCAGCTTCCCAACTCAGAACTCAAAGAACTGCTAAAAAATTACATATTTATTTTTAATTTTGCATTTTTGTTTTATATTAAATGATTTTTGGCAGGTAAATTCAAAAGGAGAACCAGCAGCAAAGCAGCTTCCCTAACTCTAAGGGCTGTTTAGGTTTGTAGATTTAATAGACCTGCTGTCATATTTCAATTGTAGTCAAGAAGCAAGCAGCATTTTATGCAAACACAAATAAAGTCAAATGGTCAGCCATAAATTAGCCATGAAGAACAATATAAAATCTTAAACCCAATGTCACTGCTACGCTTGTGTGCACAGAAAGAAGCAAAGAATGAACAGAAAGTTCTGTGCTCAACCAAGCTTTGAAAACTTACTGTCAAGTGTTGCCTGTGTCCTAACACCACTGTGCCCATTCTGTAAACAAAGAAGAAATTAATTAAAAAAATCATCTTAGAGGTATATTAAATGCTGAGACTGAATCACACATCGAACATGCTTCATGCAAATTCTATATTCATACTAAATTGAACAAGGCAGAAAATTAAATTTTTACTGCCTATGAAAGAACTACATCATAAAGTTGTCTCAAGTGCAAGGTGTCCTGAATATAGAGAAACCCATATATTTCCCATAATACACCCATCAGCAGCAGACCTTCCCATGTACTGTATATAACATAAACTTCAGGTTCACACCAATATGAAAGAAGGAATTGCATTAACATATAGGAAATGGTTGTGCTTTTGATCTAATGTAACTCACAATTTTAACTATCCAAGTTACACAGAGACGCCAATTTTTTTCCATTGAAAGATAAGACTTGAGAAGCACCAGATGTTTTTTGGATAACGCTGGAGTACAGAAGTGGATAGTCTATGCTTGATCCTCACCAGTACATACGAGCTAGTACAGAAGACAAGTGTGACTGAGCCAACACATAACAAAGGCCAGAAGTAAATAAACTTACAAACTCTCACAAGTTCCTAAAACATTTAATAAACTCAGTTTTTTTACAACAAACCTACATTCCATATACAAAGAGAGCAGGTGTGTCTGAATTGCCCAAGAGATTTCTTGTCCTATATTAGACCTCTCCTTATGCTTATTAAAATAACACATGAAACTAATTCCCACTAGTGTTTAAATACAACAGAAAAGTAATGCTGAAGGGGCCAAAAAAATTTGGGATCCATTTGCTAGGTGCCATATAAATTAATTATTAATAAATAATATACCTTTGTATAGAAACTGTCAAGTTATGGCAAAATACCATAACTAATATTTACATACAGAGACAGTTCCTTAGCTTCAGGGAAGGAAATCCAAGTAGAATTTTTAAGTATTTTTCAAGTTTGGGGTTTTTTTTTATTTTTTAAAGTATTTTTAAGTATTTCTAAAAAAGGTCAAAAGACAATTTAATAAGTCAAAACCTATAAAAGCAGAGGCTCTTATATCCCAAATACAGTGTTACCAAAAATGACTACACATCAGGAAAAGCAAAAACAAGTAAGAGGGTGGGCTTGGCAATCAAAATACCACTTGTCTTGCTTAAAGGATTAATGTATCAGGGGAATACAAACCTAACACTGGTAAGAATATTCCCCCTTTTCACGGTCCTGTTTCTGTAATGAACTCACCGTAACTGCAACAGGGGCTGGTTCAGACGGAGCCATGGAGCTTTGGTACGCTATCCTGCTATGCACAGAAGTCTGGTCATAGGAGGAAGTTGTTATGGGGCTAGTGCTCTGGGATGAGCAGGTCAGACTGGAAGAGCTGATGGCAGAGGTTGTGTAGGTGGAGTCCTGTATTGTATTGGATTTTGGCAAAGAGGTATTCAAAGGATCACTGGAAAAAAAGATTTATCATCTGGTAAGTATTTCAAATATCTTAATGAAAACATCAGCTCCTATGTGGCTATCTAGAACTACCTTAAACACACAGAAAAATCTACACTATATATATATTAGAAAATCTAAGAATGCAAAATAAAATTCTAATATTGTTTTGGTCCTCACTAATCACTGCTTCAAAACATCAGTGGCAGTAAGCACCATTCACCTTCCTCATTCCAGCCCAACCAAGACACAAATTAACACACAAGCACTTTTAATGTTATTTCTACCTTTTCCAAGGGTAAATTAATGATCATAATCTTTCTTTTTTAAACAAGCTGAATTGCTCAAGTCTGGTATTTGATGAATAACCACAATAGGATTCTTTTACAATTGAATTCTAATGTAACAGAATGAATTATGCAAAGAGCTAAAAATTACTTTAAAATATGCAGGAATGTTTTATTTTCCGATTAGTTTAAATATCATGTATAAACTAAAAGTTATGTGAAAGTTCACTTTTATTAATATTTCTGAATTAACTTCAGGAAGCTTTTTAATGATGCTGATTTTTCAATGAGTAAGGAATTAAAAATGGTTTACTGGTACACTGGCATTTATCATTGGCTGTTTTAGCATTTCAGTAAGAGCTTTTACATACAAAAAGCCTAGCTTCTTTTCTCATTTTCTCACCCTGTAAGAGTATCAGATCTGTAACCTGGGGCCCATCTTCTAACACACATATAGGGTACAAAGGTCAACTCTACTGGACCAAATGGAGAAAAACATGGGAAGTAAGGAGGAAACCCCCAAATCCCTTGAAAATCAGGGCAATTTATCATGAGAAATTATATAAAGGACAGCTTATTAAAAGGTTATATATATTCATGTAATCTCCAGCTTTGCATCTATCTATCCAGGGAGATTTTGATTATCATTAGAGAAGAAATTTATCATTTAAGATACACTCCACAGAAAACAAGTTGTCATATTTTCCCCTCTCATTACATTGTAACCCTGTCTTGATGTTTTTGGCACAAACTTGAGCCCCTTCAGGAACACCTGAGAATGCAGGAGGTCAACTCACACATACTTCACAGATTTTGAATATAAGCTATTGTTGGTCGCCTGGCTGGTATTCTCACTGCTTGAAGTTGATCCAAACTCTGGGAGTGTAGGCTCTGATCCAAACTCAAGAGCTCCAAACTGAACATTTAACCCTGTCATGTCTGCTGATCCAGGCATCTCCACAGCAGAGGCAGGAATCTTAAAGGAAGGGAAAAAAAAATAAATCGTAATTCCTTTGCATGCATCTGCAACATAAAATTAATCCACTGACTCTGCTCTAATCTGGAGCTGAAGGAGTAAACCATACTATTCCACAATAACGAAGTATAATCTGTGTACATCCCTCCCCACTCCACCAATATTCATATTGTGGCTACTAAGTCAATCTGAAAACCACTCAGCAACAGCCATTTTCCATACAGAGCAACCAGCTATGCACTTGTAAAATGTATCACCACAATATTATGGAGTATATATTATATTATAGTAATATTACCGTAACTATCCAGCTTAGTATTTTGTGCTTCATAAATAAGAAATACACCAAGGTCTTTGGTCTCCTTCTCCATAGCAATTTATATAAAACATGTAACAAATCAAATAATACAATCATTTAGGTTGAACAAGAACATTAAGATCAAGTCCAACTGTTAAAGACAGCACTATCAAACGATGTCTCTAAGCACTATGTCTTCACATCTTTTAAACAGCTACAGGGATGGTAACTTCATCACTTACCTGGGCAGCCTGGTCCTCATGATGACATTTTTCCTAATATCCAATCTAAACCTTCCCTAGTGTAACTTGAGGCTGTTTCCTCCTGTCTTGTCACTTGTTACCTGGGAGAAGAGACCTATCTCCACCAGCCAACACCCTCATTTCTAGAGAGTGAGCAGGCTTTCCCTGAGCCCCCTTTTCTCCAGGCTGAGCCCCCGTAAATCCCACAGCTGGTCCTCAGACCTGTGCTCCAGACCATCCCCAGCTCTGTTCCCTTCTCTGGACATGCTCCAGCCCTTCAACATCTTCCTTGTGTGAGGGACGCAGAACTGGACCCAGGATTCAAGGCGCAGCTTCACCAGTGCCCAGTACAAGGGGACAATCCTGCCCTGCCACTGCTGACACAAGTTTTGACAAGCCACCACTCAACTACCCACCTTGGATGCTGGAGTTATCCTCCTTTTTGGTGGTTTTATCTGTTTCTGCTGGGTTTGATGAACAGTCACTGCCTGGTTATCCATAGAGATAGTGGGGAGCTGTAGTATTTTGCTAACAGCTGTGGAGGAGTCTACTGGTGATGGCTCTTGTAGTTTTACCTGGGAGGAGGATGATTCCAGCCCAGGAGGAGGAACAGGAACCACCTGCATTTGCTGTTGTCGCTGTGTCAGCTGGCTCAGAACTGGAGATGGCTCAGGCTGGGACTTAAAGTCTGGCCAGTGATGGGAAAAAGAAATACCAAAATTAAAGCATTGAACTCTGCTCTTCAAGCTCCATTCTTTATGCAAGCATCTGGCTGATGCTTAATATTTAAGATTCTACAGTATTTGCAAGTCTTTTCAGACATCAGAGGGGTTTCACATGGATCATTACCACTCTAACACTAATAAAGACATCAGTTGATACATCTTCTACTTCAAATAAACAGCTGTTGCCAAGCATTATTTATTTTTTTCCAAAAATATGAAAACCTATCTACACAGTCACAATATTATCACACACAAGTCCTCAAAAACAGTTATGGGCTATTTTAATCAAACACTTGAAGTTTCACTGCAAATAACTGTTGTAACCTGTTATATATTTATAAACTGTTATATCCCTGATATAACATGATTACTTCCAAAGGGTAAAGAGTTGGTGCAATTTAGAGGTATTATGATTTAGGATTCCCTTCCCCTGCAAAGAAGATGATTTAAAAAAACACAGAAAGTATTCTACTATCTCATAACAGCTGAGAGTCAAAATTATACCAGACATGAACAGGTTTTCTCCCCGAGTCTTCCCTTCCATAGTTTTCGGATGCTGAAAGCCATGAAGTGACCTAAAGCACTGGTCAACCACCACAGAGACTTCCAGCATTTCCAGTGTGAAGGGGTTTTTATTCAGTTGGTGAAGACCATTAGAATGCATTCAAAGGTACTTAATTTTTTTCTTAGAATTTCTGTATGTCAAATATAGTAATTGCTACCAAAGGCTGCTTATTTACACATAGACATATACATACATATGAAACACACGAGAGCTATCCTCTTTACAGTGAGGATACTGTAGAAAAAACATTGCAGAAAATAAGTTTCTGCCATTCTCAATGTTGTTGCTAATTTTATTCAATTACATGAAAAATTCATGTATTAAATTACAATTATAAATATACAAACCAAGTAACTTCAATCATTTACAGCACACTATGGAAAGAACACTAAGGCATGATGTGAATTATGAAGAAATTATATAGTACTCATTCAAAATTCATGTAATGATTAGAAGAAAAAATACGGGGAAAAAACCCCAAAAATACAAGTACATAATTTTACACTCAGCATAGGTGCAATAAAAGCAGCATAGGTGCAATGAAAGTATTTTCCAGCACTTGCTGAAAAACAGTCAACAATAAAGTTCTGTGCAAATATTCAAGCACACTAAATCAAAGATTTCATTACCTGGGAGGCTCAATAACTTTAAAGATGTAACGACATTTATAGGCTTAAGCTTAACAAAACTTAGCTTATGATATACTTTTGATGTCTATTACCAGCAAATAAGCGTAACACTTAAAATGTTTTAAGTAACTGTAATACTAGGATTAAATTTCTTAGAAAAAGTCTTTCATTAAAGTATTTTAAACTATTATTGGCATTAAGAAATCTTACTGGCTAATACAGAGAGAAAGAGAAGAAGCTGTGTCAAAGCACTTACCAAACTGACTGAGGACTGAGGACTGAGTATTAGGTGGCTTTAGATCCCAGGATGACGCAGCAACTGTGCTAGTGGTAGCAGAACTGCTATTGGTTTGTTGAGAGGTAAACTGACCCAATCCTGGTGATTTCAATTGGTCCAAGATTTGGGAACCAGTAGAGTTTGCCAATTTAGAGGATCTGAGCTCTCCAAAGCCAGAACAAAGAACTGCCGACTACCAAAAGAAAAAGAAGAAGAGGGGAAGGAGTGGAGTTAATATTTTAACTAATAATTGAACATAATCATAGGGTCAATGTCTACACCTGCTATCCGGACAGCAAGTAGAATTTTTTCAGACCCAGACTACTAACAAATGACCAGTAAAAATTTCCACTACTGTAATCACAATAATACCTATTTGAACCCATGCATCTTAAAATATCATAGATTTACTAATAGTTGGACTGATTTTTAGAGAATAAACACCTCATCTCACACCCTTAAAACTGGCTCAGAAATAGGCATGCTTCCACAAGAAGCAGTTGAGTATGTGCTTGGAAGTAACATCAGTTTCCTGGCCTAGAACTCTTAACTATCAACAAATTATTTTATCCTACATCAGCAAGCAATGAGCACATCTGCTCTCTAATCAAAAGTTAATACAACTACTTCATGTAAACCCAGAAATAACTAATTAACAAAATGAAAAAAGATTGGTTGGGTTTTTTTTTGGTTTTTTGGTTTTTTTTTTTTTGAGGGGGGACAGGGTTGAAAGGAAGGAATGATACTCAAATATATTTTCAGCTTTTTCAACATGTATCAGAACACCTCATGAAATGACCAGCACTGGAAAAGTTGCTTAACCTGAAATATTTATTCATGAACAACATTTAGAAAACAAAACATTTAGAAAGCATAACATATGTTTACCAGACTTTGAGGAGAATAAGAGTTTACAGCACTGGAGCTGCCTGTTCCTGATGTCATCTGGGTGCTATGCTGAGAATTTGTGAATACTAAGGCTTGGCCAAAGGTCTGCTGCTGGGGAGACTCATATGAGTTGGCTTCTGTCTCTTGGGTAGATGTCACCGGCTTTTGAAGCAGTGTCACCAAATCAATGCTGTAAGACAAAGTGAAATTTGTCTGGAATGAACACAGTGATTAAACCTGACTGACACCAACGAAAGTACTAGCAATACTAAAGCTGCCATCCCAGAAACAGAATTACTACTGATTAGCAGTCTTTTCAAATGTTTTTTGTCTGTCATACAAAAGAGAGAGAAGAGAGTTTTTTGCTAGTAAGTAAAAAACAAAAATCCCACCCCAATGTGAGTGGAAAGAACTATAACATTTTCTAACATCATTTAAGGGACATCCACTGGAAGAAGAGAACAGAACACATATGAATATATTACTTTTAAGAAAGAAAGAAACATAAACTATACACAACCTAACACCATGCCTCATCATATCAAATCACATCCATATTATACAGAAAACTTTGCTGCAGTATACCACAATCAGGACATTTGGGATAGAGTCCATTAGCTTATTTAGTTTTGAGATCTCGTGCTGCCCAACTACCGAAGTCTTCATCACTAAATTCTAACATGCTCTCCAGGAACATGAGGCTAATGGAAGCAGCTGATTTCACAACATCACCAGTAAGGCATTCGAAGACAAAGGCAAGCAAAGGAAGACAGCAACTGACATATTTTTGGTTCTTGATCTTAACCCTCTATCATCAGTAAATGCTTGTAACCGTGATGTTTACCAGGGAATTCACCATTTTGCCAGTGCAAGCTTTCATTTAACACATTTGTCAAAGCACTATATTCTGAAAACTTTCTGCATCCACGAAGGCAGGCTTTCCATTTTCTGGACACTAAAGCCAGAACTTTCTTTTGAATGGCAAAAAATTTTTCTTCCCAGCTACTTTTCTTCTTGCCTTTAAGAAGTCCTGATGCAGAAGATGTGTTATGCTCACACATTTGGTAAGTTTGCCTCCACTTTCACCGTCAAAAATATCTTAACTCAAGAACTCACAGAAACAACAATTCACAAGCAAGGCTTTTTCAGTTTTGAGATGAGTTCAACCAATCTCTGACAGAATTTTTATTCAATATTTTATGTATGTAAACTAATATTGCTTAATCAAGGAGAAGGTTTTTAAAGTATAGGGAAAACATGTAAGAAGAGCTTACCTTTGCCCAGGAGTCACATGATTTTCAGCTGGAACAGAAGATGCAGTGAAGACTTTTGTTTCAGAAAGCTGAAAAAGAGATGGGCGAACAATTTTACATGCTCACACTTCCCTCATGCAACATCTGCAGAAATTCCATTTTGGTCATGCACTTTCAAGATAAAAGTAAAGTCAAACTATCATTACAAAAGGCTACTCTGAAGCTCTGCTTAAAAAGACAAAAATATGTAGTCAAACTTCAGTAAAATCTCCTCCACAGAATCAAGTACCTGTTTAATTAGAGGGTTGGGTTAGGAAATTTGACCTACTGAAAACAGGCACCAGTGTCTAACAGCATACCAATGCAACTACATCAGCTTGGGAAACAGTTTCACTGAAATACACCAGTAGAAAGCAATTAATGCGACAGCCATTCTACCATCAATGTTTAGACAATTTATGACACAATAAAGCACCTCTGATAAATTTTGTTGCACAATGTAACATACTGCACTGCTCCCACTCATTCCATGTATCCTTGCACCTAATATTTCAGCCCTCACCACCAGCAGAGGCAGGTAAGTACAATGAACCAGCACTCACGGTTCTTTCTTGGCAGGTCTGTTAGGAGAGGCAATAAGGTCTTTAACTGAGTGCTCTGAGAGCAGGAGCTTGGAAACAGTAATAAAATGAGGGCCATGCCCATACTCACATAACAAGTCAGACCACCCACAGTAGAAAGCTGCACTGTTTTCACCACGCTGTTACAATACAGAGAGATACTGGCGAAGGCACCTGGGGAACTGAAGCTGGTTGAGACTTTGGGGGAAAGAAGGGGTTGGTTTTTTGCTGTGTGGTTAGATTTTTAAATACTTTTTCTTGTTTAAAAAGTAGTAGTTGAACAGCTACATCTTCCTAGGGCTAATCTGTTTCTATTGACAGGAGTACATGCAAACCAGAATAGGTCTTAAACTGGTACAGGTTAGGTTTAGCAAGACAGAGATATGCACGTACAGTATTTTTATTTTAAATTAAATTTTCACAAAATCACCCTTAGTTCCTCTGGTAGCATTGTCTTCGACTGAAGAATAACGGACCCATTCAAAGAACACCTTTACAATGTGCCATTTGATACAGCTCTTCTAGGAAATGATGCATTTTTAATTGCATGCATTGCTAGCAGCACACTTCAAAGGACATCACAGATATGAGCTGATTTCATTTGCCATCCCACAGGAAGCTCCACCAAGAGCATGTGTATCCATGAACATGGACATATGAGAGGGGTCTCCTATGAAACATTGTTGATTTAACAAGGGCACAGAAGGGCTGACTGGGAGCAAATGACCACTCAGCGGGAGAGCAGAAACATTTCACATACACTCCCAGAACCCTCTTGAAAGGAGCACACCAGGCCATGAAGAAATCGGTACTACCACAGTTCAATCCCTCCATTTCTTGCCCTTCCCTTGCTGACAACACAATGCACTTTAATCCCTCATTTCTGCATCACTTGTCCCAAGATTAATGTTGACAGCCCACAACTCCATGTACTGACCAAAACAAAGAAAGAACATTCCACTTAAGTACATTTCAGTTAAAAAGGCTGTTCCTCTATTGTTCAGCACTTTCCCCACCATGTGTTTTATTTTAGAGCAATGTGTACTGTACTTTCTGGGGTATTATAATACTCCTGCATAGCACATAGCACAGGGAGGCAGCTAATGGCACAAGCAGCACTCTATGCTCTGCAATCTCTTGATTAAATATTAAATTCTTTGTAATGTCAACAGCTTCTCACACTTGGGTAACCAGGAAAAGACTAACCATGGACAAACACTTATGAACTCCAAAACTTAAGCAAATTAAGGAGACTGGGGATGTTTGTGACAACGCAAATGCATGCTTGATGTGTGAGAGAGTAAATGCTCTCTACAGATGAACCAGCATGCAAACAAAAGTCTCCAGCTAACAGCTCAGTTATATTGAGGTTTACACTACACCCTGTGGCAAACTCATTAATTCAGGACTCTGCAGAGATTACCACATTCATCAAAACACATTTCGTGCTGCAGCAGCTGAAAAGTTTTATTACACAGATGTATTTAGTATTTCTCAGAAGTAGTATTTGCAGCTCCCAATCAAGCCATTATGCTCGCTGCACACTACACTCACAAATCTTTCACTGAGGCATTTTCCCAGAACTGAACGAATGGTTGTGAGCCATTTGTCGGTGTTGGCCTCACAGGAGTATGTCCTCCATCTGCAGTGAAATGCCCGTGCTTTCCAGCTCCTGTTCCTATGGTAAAATCATTCTCCAATCACCAAACAGACAACGCACTTGACAACTACCTATCAAGTCCTAAAGGAGTACAGGAACGGTAAGAAGAAGAGGAAAACAGACTCTGGCATCCTCACAGAAACTCAACATCCAAAACCAGAAATCATAAAAAAAAAGCTTATTACTGTTTTGGTATGATGCAGTGAAGGTAAAGAAATTAAAACAACTTCTCATGCTGCTTCCTGGTAAAGAAACCACTTCCACCAAAACACCCTCTCTTTTTTCTTAAAAAAAAGTGTTGCTGTGGTTTCAAATAAAAACTAGTACTACCAACACTACACAGAAAATGTTTGCCATCACCCACTTTCCAGCAGTTTGTATTTATTCTATTTATCTCATTTGGAATAGTTTCTGTAGTTAAATTTTAGTTTCTTTAGCTATGAAAGCATAATCACTTTTAAGAGCAAAATCCAGAGCCATCTAAAGTACCTCAATATTTGTCTAGCCCTTTACTGTTCACACCTTGAATATCCCTGTAACAAAATACAACCTCCTACTTTCACTGCAAGTAGTTTCCGTTCTATTTAATAGCACCTTGACAACCTATTATACTTGCTCAATACTCACTGCAGAAGATAAGGACCAGACAGGACTACTAGGTCACAAAGACCTAATTCTTCTTGGGTCAAACAATGTTAAATTTCACTCACTCACTCATAACTTGTATCTGACTAGAGAACATCACATTTAAATAGAAATATTCTTCAGAAAAACACCTTTCCCTGCAGACAGCAAATATATCAGTTTACTTGGTTCTTCTAATCAATAGTCATGCCAGTAGAACTGTTTGTTATACACTTAAATGCATGGATACATTTTGCAGACACAGGTTCATACTACTCTGCTAAACTAAAACCACAATTCATCATATGTTTCTAAACTAACCCTTTCAGATTCCCTAAACTAAAATCTCCCTTCTCAAGGATCTCTGATCAGATATTTTCATCTATTATACACAATTTTTCACCTCTAAAAGCAATGAGAAATTTGATTTGACACTTAAGGATCAAGCTCAGGAGCATATACATACAGAAACATAATTCAAGAATGACTAAGAGATGGGGAAGAGTGCCAATAGGCAAAAAGACTACAATAGGGGCTTTTTTGATACAGCATCAGTTCATGCTGAGCTGTTCTTTTTTCACCATCCACTACAGTCCTGAAAACTTTTGCGTTGCCGTTTCCCAGACACCAGGCCCTTGTTCTGAAGCTGTGTCTTTATTTCTATAAAACAAATGGATACTTGGCTATATTAAAGTATTTTTCATTGGAACAGGTAAAATCTAGCAGAGGTCCAAATCTCACCACATGACTGGCTTACTTTCAAATGCTATTCCAATACTTTTTGTATTTCACTAATATTTTATTAAGCAATTATTTAAGTTTTACTTCCCAGTCATTAACTGAGGCACTAGATGGCATGTGGCACTGGACTGGGCAGACTAATAGCTCTCCTACAAAAGCCCACATTCAATAGGGTCCTTCTGTAACAGATTTCCCAAAATTTGCAAAGATTTCAAGACACTAATATATTTTGTGATGTTTTGCAATTATTTTTAGAAGTAAAAATATACATATTTTTAGATTAATTTAGAACAAAAGATAATGTATTTTTCCCTTTTTATTTTTTGCACACATTTTGGGCTAATCTATCTGCACCCTGACAATTCATTCAGTCTTTCTGAATATTAGCAGACAACTTTCTGCTAGGTCATAGTGATTTTTCCAGGAACCAAAATTAATAAAAATTAACATTGGGCTGGAGATTTCAAAATTCACTTGCAAATTATTCAGCTCTAGTAACTATTTAAAACAAATTCTATCCCTGGTCAGCATTGCTCAACACCTCTCCCATATTACAAATGCTGTATTGTACCAGCATCAAACAGGGGTGAGAAAAGCCCATACATTTCGTACATTCTTCAGCACATACTGAAGAAACAGGACAGGTTTAAATTATGTCAGCTGTTGATGACATGAATTGATACACAAAATCTAGGAATTTAAGAGTTTCTTTCAATTCTCTCAAAAGATACATCCCTGTCATTAGGTAAGGATGAAGTTTCCATATAGTTACATGAAAACATTCATACATTTCCAGGAATAACACTGACATTACACCTTGCAGGAGGAGGCAAAAGGGATGACTTATTTTCACTCTTCTGAAAATAAGCTTGAAATAATGGGTTACTCTAAATATTTAGTTTTTGAACACAACACAAACTCTGAAAAGAATAAATAATCAATCGGTATATCCAACTAGCTGCACTTACATCTTCATTCCAGTCTTCTGCTGTCCATTCTTCTATTGAGTTTTTCCATGCTCCTATTATAATTGGGAAAAAAGAAAGAGAACAGATGCAAGTTAAAGGCACAACACTGTGTTTCAATCCTTCTGGTTTACAAGCAGTCTTGTTTTCATTATCAGTGAAACATAAAGCAAGGAAATGGAGACTGGAGACATATTTGAAAACATGGTTGGAAGCTCTAAGAAACTGGTCTGCAGAATTAAAATTTTGGGAGGGAAACATCACCATTCCTCCATCCCCCCTGGACTTAAATTCTGATTTCAGGAATTTCTTAGACACTATGGTACTGGACTTAATTAGCATGGATGCACATATGCACCCAGTGATTAATTCCAAACATTGGAAGAACTTCCTCCTATGGGTCCAGTGAGAGTAAGAGGTTACTCAACCCTCCTGCAGTATCCCCTAGTTTCATGCACAAATTCATACAGAACAAAACACAACCACAATACCTGCTCCAATACCCATAATCCTGATTTCAACACATTCAATTTCAAGACTCAAGCTATGCCTGTGGAAGCTACTTTCCAAACTGTTAACTCATTCCTCAGAGTAGAACAACTCCAATTCCTTACCCTGAGAGAGCAATTTATTTTAGGACATAAATAATTCTTACAACAGTAGCAGGACAGTCTTTAAATTTCCACTGTAGCTAAAAAACACTTCCTATAACTTGTGGCAGAGTGGATTTGGCAAACCTTGGAGCACAGTGCAGCACACAGAAATAGGAAAATTACACAAAACAATCCTACAAATGCAAAAACCCAACCCCTTCTGTAGGAAACAGCAGGTACAGACATGCTGCAAGAGCAATAAACAGACTGAAAACCTTAACCACCAGCAGCAGTACAGGAAAGGCTATCCCAGCAACAACCAGAACCTTTGTGTAAACTGTGCAACCAAGAGCAAAGAAAACACCAGCACCAAAGGCAGTGCTGCAAACACCTTCGATCAAGTACAAAAGCAAAAGTACTACTGCTTCAATCATCTCCTTTCACTTAACCAGGAACTATTTGAGATGCACTAATCCAGAAACAAGTGCCCCAAAGACAGCATCAAAGCCACCAGGTACCAATGCCAGCACTGCATTGGTGCTTCCTCTTGTACCCCACAACACCACAGGAGGTTTTGGCAGAGGAGGGTCAAGCAGTGCCAGTTCTGTCAGGCAAATGGGCTGACCATGAAGGTTACATACAGTGGTGGGAAGAGAGGGGGACTATACCTTGGAATCCAAAATTATTTGGCAGGTCCTGAGCAAGGTAACATCCGCTCTGTGTGGGCTCTGTGGAGCAATGTAGAGTTGCCTGAAACATCCTATGCTCACATTTTAGTAAAGGTCCCCCAACCAGGGCTGATATTTTTATGAATAACCATACCCTGTAGCAAAACTACTACAATGCCTCAAATTTCTAGAGTAATCCACACATTCCAACAGAAATTTTGAAAAGGAGGAAAAACCAATGAGAAGCTGTTTTTCTCTAGAAGACAAGCCTTGCACTGACACCAGAACACTAAAACAGAGCTTGGAGTCTGATAAAACAATCGCTAAAAGAACTCAGATACATTAAGTCAGACTCCTGAGTAGTAGGTCAGACTCCACCACCTTTGGGAGACCAGACTTACTTGGAATAATACTTGTGATGTTTTCCTGACATCCAATTTAAACAATTATCTGTTGTTCCCTCTGATAAAACTAGTTCTGAGGGTTTACTCTTTTAAATGCTGTGTACAGCCTTTCACCCTTTTATTAGTTTACCCAAGCTGCCAAGTTCACTACTGTCATTTACTAACTCTCCTCCTTCCCAATTCAATCCTTCCACTCTCAGTTTTTTCAGTACTCTTCTCTGCACTAAATCCAGTTTTCAAACGTTTTCCTCCTATTGATGGAATTTCTAAGTCAGATCTTGCCACAGGTGCATTAATTTCTTTTTAGTCCAAAATCCACCTTGGCCTTACTGCAACTCATGCATCCTCTTCCCAATCTTTCCCCCAAGCTTTGCAAAGCAACACAATTCAAGAGTTCTGTTTTCCATCAAAATTATGCTTTGCATTTTCAAGGATCCTTGTCATACAAGCTTCAACCTAGATGGTTATTTGTGACCCTATCCTCTTTCTCTTTGTAACAAGTTCAGTTTTAAAAAGTTGACAGCCAATAAAAATAGAATACATATTTTTTGATGAGCCTTCAGCCATGTTCCTCCAATTCTCTTTCTGTTACACTACTTATTTTTTTACCCTTTATTTGAATAATCATTGATATTAACCCCAAAATAAACTTAACTTAGTCTATGCCCAACTTATGTACTAGTTCTTTCCCGTCGGATTTGCCTTCTAGAAAGACTTGAAGATTTCCTTAAAATGTTCCTTCTGACTTTTACAGCAGACATTGAAAGAAAACCAAACACAAAACCCCAAAGAAACAAAAACCCAAACACCAACTTCCTTGGTTGTTCCAACACAACTGTCCCTCTTGAAAGTTACTCCATAATTTATTTTTTATTTCTTGTAATTCTTCAGTTTCAGAGAAATTTAAAGCTGTTCGTAACTAAGATATCAAAGGAAGTTTTTCTGTGAAACCTATGAAACTCTATCAAAGAGATCTTGAGTAAATTACAGGAACCCAAGGCCATTTTACAATCAGCTTTGAGAAGTGAGCACCAATATAATTTATGTGTAAGAACTGCTGTGATTTGCACTCAATTTCTCCCACTGCATGGTACACGACAAAAAGGCAGGAGAGGAATCATGCTGCTCAAGTTTATTCCCTTTTGGAGGAGGATTGGTAATTTTGTTTCTCTTTATCTGTCCCTTCTCTTTGCCTTTCATCTGTACATTATATAAATTAGGATGCAGAAAGACGCTGTATTATTTGTAATACAATAATACTTAAATGTTATGAACTACTAAAGACTTGCCTTTCAGTCTATATTTCAACCAACACTAAATTTTGCCTTCACAGAACCAGCTAGCTTTTCTACTAGATTATACAACGGTGCAGCTAGAAACACTATTCAAATTATGGTGAGGCCTTTGCACCTGCAACAATTCAGGGCATGTGGTTCTAGAGCAGTTTCAGAGCACAGATGACAGAAACTACATTTTTGAAATAAATACTGTATTTATTTTTAATGAAAATATTAATTTCCCCAGCACTGGCTAAAAGAATAAATACTTAGTAAACTCAGAATGTCACAAAGATTTGTATGATGTCTTCAGAAAATATTTTGATAAGCAAAGATCTCTTATTTCTGTAGGCAGTTACCCATTACTCCTCTTTAATGTAACTGCAGATGAAAGACACTAGTTTTGCAAGTAATAGCGTGAGTTAATATTGTATACCTTCTTTTTAGATGAAATAAGAAATGGGACTGGGTAATGAGGAATAAAGAAAGGGATTTCCTTCCGGTCCTTCCTCTATAAACTCTTACCTGACATTTATAAAGCCCACTGCAAGCTTTATAGTTTTCCAGTCACATGTAGTTCACACATTCAAAACTTTAGTTAGCTCCCCAATGGGAACTTAACTGGGTCATTGATTTGTAAGTAAGAAAACAGCACTGTAAATTTAGGGCGAAAACCTGAAAATTAATATTTGGGATTAACAAGTCAATTAATGGTCAACTTTATGCAACACACTTCCAGCCCCATATCTTGTCTGCCACTGTCCCCCCATAGCACTGCTTCTATGTTCCTTCCCAGCAGTCTCTTCTGCTTTAAAATTACCACTACAGATGTAGCTTCCTCTAAAAACCCTCAAGATGCTTTCCATCACAAGGTTGAAAGTGCTACCCACTTGGAGAAAACTGAAGATTCAATTTTAAAGCTCTTTCTGATGTGATTCCTTTTGGCCCAGGGACTTCTTTCAGATATTCCTAGGGCTTGTCTAAAGAAACAACACCATAAAAGAAAGCATTCTTTAGAGATATATTTTTGTTTTGTCACTTACTGTGCCTTTTTCATTTGAAAGTAAATTAAGATTAGCAACAAAAAGGTACTTAACACCCAACAAGAACATTCACATTTACCTAGTCCGCTTTAATTTTCCACCAACCAAGTAATTTTGCAGGAACTCCCTCACAATGACACCCACTCATTCATACCTCAAAGGTATTCATTCATTCATTTGACAAGGCCAGGGAAAATTCCCAAATGCCTTCTCGCAGCTTTTCTTCCTACAATGCTCCCAAATTTCCATGCATGCCTTAAGCTGTGTTATTGAAATCCAGTGTGGTTGTTGGTGACATGAACAGCAAAAACGTGCTTGGCATCTGAACAGAAATTCCACACATCAAAACTCAATTTCCACCACTCTGTCAGCAGCACACGTCTCATGGTGACACATTCGTGCTCTTAGAGGGATCTGCTTACCCACACCAAGCTACTCTTATTCTTAGGCAGATATCTTCCCTTAATGAACACTAAAGAGGTACAAGGAGACAGAGGTGCTCTAACAGAGACACCTGGAGGCTACTCTGAGTTAGCAGGGAGGGTCTCAGAACACTCAAGTTCATTTCAGAAGTAGAGCACAAGTCATACATAAGCTACACCCTTACAGCTGCAATCAGTAGTAACAAACCAGTGATTCTCTACCTCTGGTCCAATCTCCTAGCACCTTTCACATAGATCTTTCTTTACTTAGTTAACCTTATAGCCTCTACAATACTTGTGATAACAAACCCTGCTCCTCACTAACAGGTAGCAAACAATAAGGTAAGAATCCCCAAAGGAATTTTCAAGACATTAGATATCTTGAGTGAAAACAAAACGTGTATTTCTGTTTGTGCTACAGCACCAAGTAGTTTAAAAAGCAATTCCTTAGAAAGATACCATATTTGGCAAGAATGCTCCCATTAACAACCACTGATACGCTTAAAGCCACTCTTCCACTGGTTTAGAAGGCAACCAGAGTGACAAGACAGCTGCTTAACAGGCCTCCTTAACTTTGAGCCTGTTGTCCTCTTCTCTGGTTAAGTGGAAAATGGGTTGCAAGACATTCAGAAAGCTGCCTCTCAAGTGGTTGACAGCAGAGCTCAACAGAGCACACTCTGCCCTTCCGGATCACCTTCCACACTTGACACTCAAGTTGATGAAAAATCACCTGAGTATTCTTCACCAATGAAGAGATCAGAAGAGTCAACCATCACTGCAGTTAAAGAAATTCATTCAGTGGCTCCCAAGTGAGGAAAAAACCATACATGACTTTCTTCAGTCTAATACAAGATTTCCTTTGCCTTCATCTCCTGTCACAGGCCACAGGAAGAAGCAAGTATCCCATTTTTCCCGTCACAGATAAGCAGGCCACCCTCCTCATTCTGAATCACCATGAGACCACTGCCAAATTGTTCCTTTCCAAACTATGTCAGTCTCTTGCTTTTAGCTGGAAGTGTGTACTTCTCACTTGAAACTTCATACAGAAACACACATCTGCCTTGATCTTCAGACAGGTCAACGGCTTTTTGGCTTCAATTGAAGTATCTATGTGTGCTTTAGTTAATAATCTTTCTCTTGTTCAAAAGTTGCAGATCTTGGAACTCTCCTCCATCCAGAGACTCACATGCTTACATTTTTGCATTGTGCAGCTGGAGCTTCCAAAGCCATCTCAATGTCACTGAGTGAATTCATACTTTTAAACTTTTTCTTTTCTTTTTCTTCTTAGATATTCACACCCCATTGCCTAAAGCCTGAGGACCAATCAATTCTATGAGGACTCATCTCCTTAACTACATTAGGTGAGATCTTAAGCAGTATTTAGATATCTAAACACTTCTTTACATACAAGGTTTTTCCAGTGACTCTTCACGTTCCTTTGTCCCTCAAGGGTTTGTTAGTGCTATAACAAAAGAATTGCAAAATGCCTCCCTTCATTCTCACCAGAGAGACACTCAGGCTCTGCATATTAGCAGCAATTAAACTTTAAAATCACCTAATATCTCTGTCACAAGAGATGTATACAAATTTTCAGAAGTTAACTGAACACTAACAGAATGGTTATTTAGCTGCAATGTGCTACAGGTCTTCATTCCAATCCTTCCACTTCTTGAAGCATCTTACCAGTTCCATCATCTGCATCATTCTGACCAGTCTCCCAGACCTCTGACTTTGTCCCAAAGCCATCAGTGGCAGAAGACTCCGTATAGTCTGCAGGATTAAATGTCCTAGAGTTTTGAAAGTTAAGAAATGGAAGAGAACACATGGGTCATTCAATGAGCACAAGTGTCATAATTTTTAGCTGAAGCTGTATTAGATCTAACATCTTGATTTCCACATAAGTTATCTTGACAGCTTTTAGTTTAAAAAAAAAAGAATTCTTCTATGAGCAGAGTTAAAAAGGAAGAAAAGAGAAGAAGAAGAAAAAGTGAAGAGACTGGTAAACAAAATTCCTGTGGAGAAAATGAACCAAATCAATTCCTGAAAAAACAGTTAATAATAATCCCTATTCCTCCTAGTGTTATAAAGCGTTAGTTTATATATACAATGAAAAGACTCTCTCAACTGGTAAGTTTTTCAACAGGTGGCTGATAAGTAAGCAGTATCATGTCCTTTCAGAGCACCAGTAAGATTATTTCAAAGTGCTCTGCTGACACCAATGTCAAAATACACAGATGCAGGTAAAAGGTGAAAAAGCGTTATTGAAGAAAAACCTCTTTTCAGTTCATCATCTGCAAGTATGAACAAGAAGAATTATTAGAGAAGTAGAACAAGACTCCAGTTCATCATGACTTCACTGATGTTGCATGAAGTGTCATTAAAGGCAAACACTGAGTAAAAGCAGTGGAGATTACATTTCTATAAACCAAGTTATTCCAACAAAATTGAGAGCAAGCTTTTACGCTGCTGAATAACTTCTTCTGAATGTGTTTTAAGGTCCATAGGAGTCCAAACAGCTAAAAAATGAAACCCCAAAAACAGAAGAAAGTTTAGAATTCCACTTTGAAGTTTTATATATGTTCATGGCACGTTCTACATCACACTGAAATAAATCTGGTCTTAAGCTGACCTGTGACTATATGTAGGAAACAACTTTCAGACTCCAAGGTACCATGTGTCTGCTACTGATAGCAGGTATGGCTCTCCAAGTTTGAGGTATTATTGCTGATATACATTAGGATTCTATAGGTGTGCCTAGTTAGAAACACTACTTTAAGACAAAGATATTCCATTCATCATCTAAGAGATTTTTCAATTTTTGCATCCATGTTGGTTTATCAAACATACAGCAATATCCAACTATCCATACATACAGTGGCAACATCGTCAATTAATATTGCCACTGAGTTTGATCCTTGCCAAAATCTGTGCTCTACGTGTTTCTTACCCCATGCCTTGGGCTGAAAACCTCCCCGTTCCTCTCCCTCTGCCACGTCCAAACCCTAGGAGAGAAAACACCATTTAACAGCAACAGCAGAGGAGCCGCCAGTCACTAGTCTGTCACATTAAAGAATGCCACAGTTGAACAAAACTACTGTAGTTGAAGTTAAATATCATTTACTTCCCAAATTCCCACACTGAATTTGCTTCTCTAACATTCTCAAGTAAGTCTTGGTTCATCTAAGACCATGCATTTCGTAGGATCTGCAATTATTTGCTGTCTTTTCTGTCTCTCATGAAGTAGTTCCAAAAGCCATTAAAAGAAATTATCTTAAATACTCATCCCAAACACTGCTATTGCCAACATATTAGACATAGTTCAGAATTTTGTCTCTACTGTCTCATTCTTTCCTAAGATGCTCTAGAATCCCAACCTCCCTGAGTATCCTGATCTCTCAAGCAATTCTGTCACTCCTTATCTGCGAGGAAGAAGTTTAAATACTCCACTTGTTTCCTTCTCTGACTCAGACCACCTGTTCACCCTTCTGTGCTTTTGCCAATCTTTGATCACACATTCCTTTTGCCCCACCCTTCATCAGTTACTGATAGAAAAATATCCCAATCAAGTAACTCAACTTCTATGTTGTCATCCACTAAAATATTCATTTGTTTTAACAAAAACAAGTATTTGTTTCCTCAAATCTTAATTACCAGCCTCAGTTTATGAGATTCTTGATACAATGAACAGCTTAATTTTTGCACATTGTATATTCTCAAAAAGGTGTTAAAATCTTTGTGTTATTCAAGAATATACACAGAAAATGTCTTCAAAAAGTGTTACCAAGTATTTCTTATATGTAATATATTTCTGCATAGGTTTCCTGATCCACCCTTTTAGGGGCTTTAAATAAGGCTTAATTTGTTTAGGTTCTTTTGAGTAAGGGTAAGAATACTATTTTGTATTACAAGAACAGAAGGTCAAGAGCTGCACTCCAAGAACCAAACCATGTTAGTGACAAAAATGATGTGGTAATTATAAGTCACCAAGCAACTGTGAATTTACCAGAGCACACAAAAATTATAATCATCAAACATCACCAAAACACTGATGTCCACAGATCAGAATTACCCATGACTGGCTGTTGAAAGTTGGACCAGAATTACTCCTGACTTGCAGGAGACCACCTAAACTTAGCAAGAGCAGTACCTCCAGGACATGATAACAACAGTTTATGAAGGTTCTACTTTAATGACTTTCTGTTTCCTGCTCCCACCACTCGTTATTCTCTTTACCCCAGTTCACTGTTGAAGTGTTAAAAGACATTTCTGGACTTACTTTTTCAAGACTTCTGAGAAGCATCAAAGTAGATGAAAGATTCCCAGCATTTTGCTGGGACAAGAACATAGATTAGTTTAAGTCTGACACTGACCAGCTCTGTTATCTCCACATTATTTTCCCCTCTTTGCTCTCTCTTCACAAGAGAGAAGGCAGGTTGGAGCGAACGCAGACAGAGGTTTGGAAAGAAGCAACAACTGCTGCAATCTGGCATTTGTGACCCTTCTTCATGGAGCCCATATTCTCTCTGCCATAAACAGCAGTGCCCCAAACCCTGCTGCACCCAACTGCCTCCAACTTGGCCACTGAACCTTGTTTTTCAGCCTACCCACTCTAATGCTATCCTCTGTCGAAGTCAGAGCACTGATTACCTATCTGTCCAGTAAGTTTTTTAAGAGCAGAACCAGCTACACAAGTTTACCTGGGGATATGGGAGGGGCCATCATGTAACAAAACTATTTTCAATCGCTATCAATTATCAATATCTATCAATAGAACATTAAACACCTTTTACAGAAATTGCACAGAAGCAAGATCAACAGTTTTGTGACAGCCTGAGGTACAAGTCCAACTGGGAGCTGTTAAACACAGAAACAGTCAACCAGAAACAGTTTTGAGTGTGACAGATATTAGGTACAGAGAGATAACTGAAATACTGCCATGAAAGAAGAAATTAATTTTAGGAGAGGAGGTAAGTCACCCCAGAATCTCAAGTGCAAAAGCCTGAAGGAACAACCTTAGCACACTAAAGAGAAAACGATGTTTTAGCAAGCCAGGCACACATAAGATACATTCCCATAATGAGGACAATAAACTATTGACTGAAAATATCAATGAGCAGCATTTTAAAAAATTACAAAAAAGAAAATTGCTGTTCCTGAAGTTCCATGCACAGTCTTAGACTACTAGGCAGCAAGGCATTTTTTGATACAAGATGACTTTGAAAGATAATATTGAACTCGAATTTCAAGTGGATTCCTTCATCTTCTTCATGTTGTGTCTATTCTTTTTTGTCAAAACGGGAATTAAGATTTATCAACAAATGCAAAAAAACCTTTCTAATTAAGGCAAAAGGGAATACCAAACCAAAATACTAAATTCCTAGTTAGAAAACACACAAAAAATTAACTCAAAATATGGGGCAGTGAATGCTCACCACTGCAATACCACCTAACTCAGATGCAGGATCTCAGACATCATGGTCACTAGTGCAAAATGTCAGTGGAAAGGGCTAATAGTCTCTTTGACACGACCAGACCAGAATTTAAGTATATCCTTAAATTCTCACACAAGGAAGTTACATCTCTCAGCAGTCAAAATTTAAAAATGGCCTTAAAACATTAAAGAGAATGAGAGACCTTAAAACAGAAGGTACAGTCTTTTAAGACAGTGAAGTTTCTCATGAAACAACTGTGAATGCCCACAGGGTATCTACAAACTTTTCATGCTTTTTTACAGTGACTAAGAAGTCAGTGAGCAAATGAAGCTTTCAGAATTCTCAGCAGAAACCCAAATACTGAGCATGCAATCCCACAGTAATTTAAACCCATTTAAATTAGAACTACCACAATTGTGGTCTTCCTCACCAGTGATTACAAGCTCTGCTCTTTCATGCAGACAGTTTTGCACTTTCCATTGAATGAACACCAAACAACTACCAGGAAACAGTACTTGTTCACTTTTGGATCAGCACTCCAAACAAGTTTTCACCTTGATAAATGCCAGAAAACCTTTACAGCAAACCACCAATAACCCCTGCTGTCTACTGCAGCTAATGCTGCTTGCCTTTTTATTTTTTTTTTTTTGGTGACAGCTAGTTTGTCTGTCACCTATCACCTCACACATTCCAGTGTGTCACTTTCCAGTGACAGGCAAACTAGCTTCCAGGAGGAAGCTCCAGGATCTCGCAAGACACAGATGTGACACTCCCTGACCTCTAGTTCCCTAGGTCTGCCTTCCTTCCCTTTTTAAAATGAAGGTTATGCTTCCCCTTTTTCATCAGTGGGAACTCAAATATGATGGACAGTGGCTAAGCCACTTCCTCCTCCAGTTCCCTGGGGACCCACAGATGTATCTTGTCAGGCCCCACGGACATGGGCACCTTCAGATTTCTCAAACAGTCTCAAACCTGATCCTCTCCTACAGTGGGTGGTTATCCATTCTCCCAGCCCCTGCCTTTACCTTCTGTAATTTGTACAGCTGGATATCTTGTGGGAAAAGAATATGGAAAAAAGACATTAAGTACCTCCTGTTTCTCCATGTCCCAGTTAGCCAGGTCTCCTGTTTTCTTACAGAGAAGGCCCACATTTTCCCTTGTTTTCCTTTTATCACCAACAACAATAGCATTCCCATCTAGAACCCTGTCTGGTCAGACAATCTCACCTCTCTTCCTCCCAGGTTACATGTATTTGCTTCCTCCTTTTCTGGGCTTACTTTTTGTGTTTGAATTTGTCCAGGAGCACCTTTTCATCTCTCGTTGTGGCAGTTTTGTCTTTCTTTTGGTTGGGATGCACTGCTCCCAAGCTTGAAAGAAGGAATCCTTAAATATTAATAAGCTTTCCTGGGCCACTCTTCCCTTTGAGGCTCTATCCTATGGCACTCTACCAAGCAAATCCTTGAACAGGCTAAAGTCTGCTCTCCTGAAGGCCATGGCAGTGAGCTTGCCCCGAAGATCTCAACGTGCACCATTTTACAGTCACTGCAGCCAAGGTTGCCCTTGACCTTCACATTCCTCACAAGTCAGTTCAATTCCAAGGCTGCAAGCACACATTGCCAGCTCGTGTCAGCTTTTCATCTGTAAGAAGTCCCAAGTCCTTCTCTTGAGAGCAGGACTGCTCTCAAGGAGTTCTTCTCTCCAGTCTGTATTTATGCTTGGGACTACCCCGACCTGAGTGCAGCATCTTGAACTTGGTCTTGTTAAACCTCATGAGATTTCCATGGGCCCACTCCTCAAGCTTGTCCAGATCCCTTCAGATGACATCTTGTCCTTCAGGTGTGTCAACTGCACTTCTCAGCTTAGTATCATTTGCAAATCTGTACTCTATCTCACCATGTCAGTGATAAAGATATTAAAGTGCACCAGTTAAAAGACAGATCCCTGAGGGACACCAGCTGTCACCAGCGTCCATCTGGACATAGAACCATTGACTACAATTAACTGGATGCATCCATCCAGCCAATTCTTTATCCACCTTTCAAATCCCTCTCTCTCCAATGTGGAGAGATAAGGATGTCAAGTGTGACCATATCACAGGCCTTACAGAAGTCTAGATAAATGATGCCAGCCTCTCCTTGCTGACTGTCGTGATCGCTCCATCACAGAAGAACACCGGATTAGTCAGGCACAACTTGCCATTCATGAAGCCATGATGACCAAAGATGCTTGTCCCCTTCCCTGACAGATGGAACTCATCAGTCCCCAGAAGACCAGGTTTCTCAAAGCAAGTCCCCTGGTCTAAGAAGTCAAATCCCCTGCTATGGCACAAGGCCTATAATCACCTGCTGATTCTCCAAATACAACAGGCTCTTTTGACCTCCTTTGTTTTTGACTGGGAGGATGGATGAAAAAACTACCTTCAAAAACTACCTGCTCCAGAGTGTCCTATGGCCACACCTAGGGCTCTGTAACTCCCCTTGTTGATGTTCAGACTGCTCCTGGCTGTACCACTGGTACCCGTATTAAACAACAGCAGAAGTAATAGTCAGTGAATTGTAAGAAGCCTACTAGTCTCAGTAACATCCTTGATAAAAGCCCCTGGTAAGCAGCACACTTCCTTGGAAAGCACAACATGTCACCAAAGGGATGTCTCTGTGCCTCTCAGAGGCATTTCCTACTACTGTCACCTGCTGCCTTACTCTTTGTATTTTTCTTCTCCTGAATGAATTCTAGAAAGGTCAATACTTAAGTCCAACCCAGGCAGATGGCAAGTTTGTCTGTTTTCACTACAACCCACCAGGATTTCAAAACACTTATCACACAATCACTTCTCTGTTCTGATACTCTCCATGAATAGCAAGAATTGCCCTCCACATTCACATTTCTTCCCCCAAAGCGAATGCATACTTCATGGCAGCACAAGAAACGTGTGTAGAAGTACAGCTCAGATGGGACTAGCCCATTAAATTAATTATATTCTGCAGAAAATCAAGTCTGCTGAGCTTGTAGACCTAAATCCTTCGACTGCAACACAGGTGCTTTATTCTGAAACTCAGATTTTCACTGAGGGTTTAAATTAGAGGAAGTTACTTCAAGATTAAGAAATGGCCTGAAGAACAGCTGCAAGAAAAAGGAAATGCAGACTGGAAGGCCAGGCAACTGGTGGTTATCTGTGTCTACACAGTAACTGAACTGCCCTAATTTTTGCTCTGGCAGTGCAAAGTCAGCTATCCTCCCAGCAGAACCAAGCCAACAGAGGTTTATTAAGCCTTAAGAGGTAAGGAGGCTAAGTACAGAAACATATTCCAGGTACTCCATACTACCAAAACAAATACCAATTTGTACAAATCACTTTTGTCTTTATTAGTCATCATAAAGCTGGAAGAAATTAATCAGTTTTATATGGTGCATTTACTCTAGAAAGCATTTTTACAAGTCATGCTGAAAACTTTCAACTCTATATTTGAAGGAAAATAAGTGATTTGTTACAACTAAACTATGATAATCTCATAAAAAAAAAACCTACATGACAGAGTTTCTTGACTAATGCAGAATAAGCCATTTTAGTTTAGCAAAATCAAACAAACTTAAAATCTTGACTTCCAGAAGATCTGCTCCATATTCATGTTTTAGAAAAAAACAACATCCTCCTCAGTTCTGGCAAACAAAACCCAAGATTTACCCTGTGCCGATTAGGCTAAGCTTTCAAACCAAGGGATTGTTTATACATGAAGTTCTGGATACAGAAACTCAGTTTGTTCAAGGATAGCATATTTCTCATGTTAAAAACAAAAGAGATCAAGAATACAAGCTGGACTATAATCAGATATCTATGAAAAGGATAAGCTGTTATTTTCCTACACAGCCAGTAGACAAAGAGTTGGAACTAAACCACAGCATTTTTCCTTTCATTTTTTTATCTGTTTTGTAGGAAAAAAAATCCCTGGCAGAACCCACATTTATGGCACGCTCATGCTGTTCGTGAATAATGAAGTAAAGAGATAAACAGAAGTGCGAGCAACAAATCTATCTTGTCTTTACAAACCAGAAGAATTACCATACATGAGTCTGTAACACTTTCTGTGCTAAATCAAATCCAAAAGCCCACCTACCTGCTATTCCTTTATAAGCCATGGTCAATTAGATAGCTAGGGAAGAGCACATGAACTGAAGCCTCAGTACAGTTTCTTTGGATGCTTTCCTAGTCTTCAACTATTTGTGGCTTTGACTTCCTTAGTCAAAGATAATTTACATACAACAAAATCTTTGTTGGTTTTTCTTTTTCCTGCCTGTGATTCTTTTTTAGGATGAAATTGCCAAGCTTTTAAGTGTACATTTTCTGCACCACATCATCTTACTGAAAGGAGTTCCTCAGGTTCACTACATGTATGAAGAATCAACTCTAAGTTCATGTCGAAGCTCTAACCTGCTGATCTCATTTAATATTCTCTCTTTTGCATACTTGCTTGGTATGATCAATTGATGCCCCTGCCCCCACAGAAGTTTAACAGATCTCTACCACACACCCACTCAGTCCTCTCTCTCTTGCAGGCAGAAAAATCCTAGACTACTTGCTCCTTACACCCCATAACTGCAGACTTCCCAGTACCTTCAAAAGCTTTTTCTAGTTCTACACCCTTTTGTTTTTCTGTATTCTTTTCAATATGAAGTAGAAGAAGTGGGAGAATCAGACCTGCACTTGAAATTGAAGATGTAAGAACACTAAAAAACGGCAGCGTAAAAACAACCTGTGCTTGTAAAGTTTGTCAGTTTGTATACAATACTGCAGCTGATTAAAACACAAATGAGAAAATTTTTCTATAGCTGACAATCCTAAAGACATAACCATCTGCCTCCATAATTTCTTCAAAAGATTCCATTCTAGACAGTTGCACATCCTTGCTATACTGATAAATATAATCACTTTGATGCAATTACTGCTCATCACCATTACAGTATTTCTTACATTTAAATTAAGCTCACGCAAGAAATTTGGTTCTGAAAAGAAGCACAGATGAGAAGGGATTTTAAAACAAGATATTCCCTGACTTCAATACAAAGTTTACACCCTTAGTTTAACAAGCAAAGATTTATCTAAGAGCAATTACAGCTGAGATGTGCTCTGTTACACATGCTGTGATACATTTTTACATTCTGTTCATCAGTCAATAATTTGTATATGCTTCAAATCCCTAACGCCCTGCATATCAGCACACAGAGCTGTTTGCACTCTGTCTACCTACTGCCCTATAAAGTTACAAGGAACGTGACACGGTCATAAATCGAAGATCCACTGCCAGATAAAGCTACTGCCTTACACACTGAATATCAAACACACTGTATCAGGGGTTTTCCCCCTCAGTAAACAGCACACTATCACCTCTGTGTCAATCCCATTTTTGCAATTTTCAGTTGCTTATCATTTCTTAAAATTATATTTTTGTACAGTGAAGCAGTAATACATATGATGGCGCAGCAAATCTCCTAGAAGGCATCCAGTAATATAACTCCTGCCTGAGAAGGTAGCTTAAAATAGAGACAGTGTGTTGCTCAGATAATTAGCTGACTCCTTATTTCATATCCAGTGCCTAGATTTCTAAACACACACACTGCATGAAATAGTTCTAAAAACAGGCTCTGTGATTACCACACATTACCAGTCTGTTTACTTTCAGCTGAAGTATGTCATCTCTCATTTGACTATTCTGTGTAACAGGAAAGAAAAACTACAGAATGAAGGGGCAGTAAGCTTTTTATTATTATTTCTACTAATATCCAAAGAAAGAAGGTCTTGTATCCCTGAAATGATAAGAACTGAATTACACAGATTTCCAAAACTCCCTGTAGGATTTCAAGGGTTTGCATTGTAAAATTAATCAGTTATTTCCTACCATAGAATACACACACTTGTAATATAATGACCCTGCAGTTGGCCAACAAGTTTATCAGACACTTCATTAATATACCTCGCTCACAGAACAGTCTGAAATATTTGGTAGAGATTTACAGTAATACTGTGGACACAAAGCCAGTGAATAGAAATTCTTTGAAGTTTCTATTTCTTCAGTTAGGTCAGTTTGATTTGATGATGATGTTTGAGAGATACAATATTTATCTAGAAAGCTACAGTTTTGACAACAAAAACAGTATACGGTTTGTAAGGTTAATATCAAAAAAACACTGCTTTTGAAATTGATCTCTGAGTTTCAGTGAACCATTTTTGAAAACTCCTGCTTATACACTTATAACTTGAATATAAAGGATTATTTTATAAAATAAATAACTGCAATACTTACATTCTATTTACTGAAAGTGCAAACTATTAACATACTAAAAACTGTAGCTGTGAACTATACCACACCTTGCCCTGCAGAGCTACTTCTCTGCGCACACCATTGGGTTTTTGCTGATTCACAGGCACCCTCACACTCAAAACTTTGGAATTTAGTTCTTTGCATCTCTGCACACCTTCAAGATGCAAATCTGGAGGCAATGAAGTTGGATGTGTCTGTCTCTGAATGCTTTGTTACACAAGGTTCCCAAGAGAAAGGAGTCCTTTGAAGGCAGAATTCTTCTTGAGTCAGACATTACTAAGTACAGTAGTTCTTAGCTATACATTTTGTCAATTTAATTTATTTAATACCCTCGTCCACCCATGATCTGCTCCATACATGGGTTACTCATTTTCATTCCTCTAAGAAAAAAAAAGCCTCTTTCCACCCCAACCAGTGAAAATCCAAGCCAAATACACATCACTTGATTCCACATCCAATCTATTATCCCACCTCTTCCACAGGACAGGATTGCAGCTGTACCTAAGACCCCATGATATTCCTCCTCCACAGCTCTCATCAACTCTTCCATGTAAAATTCCTTTTCATAGCAAAATGTCTCTAAGGTGGCTTGCTCTTTCTCTGATTGGCTACCAAAAGCAGAAGGCAAGCCTGACAACCAGAGCCACCCCAAAGAAATGGTACAAGTATACATCAAATCCTTCCCCAAGAGCCATACAGATGGAATCCTGTGCTCTCCTACTGCCAAGGTACATCCTGAGAACACAGCACACTCCCACTCACAGGAGGCTGGCATGAGTCAGTCTGGGGAAAAAAGCTCTCCATAGCCAGTGCACAGCAGCCTGCCACACAGAACATTACCACAGAAGTGATTGCTGTCAATTTTTTTTTGAAGTTGTTTCAAGATCAAGAAATGATAAAGGGTAAGGAAGTGGGATATACCAAAGTACAAGGTGGCTGAAGTGTGCATGAAATCAAAGGATAAACAAAAAATGCTTAGGAAGAAGAATTTAAAGAAACAAATGTGAAAATTCAGGGCATGAAAGCAGTGCCAGTCCCACACCAATGCCACCTTCTCACCTCTCCCACGGCCACGTTTCCCGCGGTCTGAAGGCCTGTCTCCTTGACTGTTGTCCACTCCATTCTCTTCAGCTCTAACTGTGGAGAGAGGACAGCTTAAGAGAAGCTTTAGAGACCCGTACATAAGACAATACAGCCATTTGCCTAAGCCAAACACCTCAAAACAAAAGGCAAGCTTTTCAAGTGGGCTGGTCAACAGCGCTCCATCACCCAACCCTTCTTTGAGGCCTCGCTAGAAGCAAGTTATGTTTCCTTTGTACTGGACAATTAGGAAGCAAAATATAAGAAGGAAAAGTCCCTCAGGAGACAAACCTCTACAAGTACTGTATTTTGCAGCCTACACTATTTAATGAGATAAGAAATACAGCTGCCACATTCTGCGTTTCCTAGATAATGCACTGGTTGACAACAGTGGAAATATAACGGAAAACCAGTAACACCAACTCTTCTCCTGTCTGCCCATACTGCATATCTGTACAATCACGGAAACAGATTTCTCCTCTGTATTTAAAGCAGAGGGATGATGACTGGGTGAACATAAGGCACTAGAAAAGCTCTGCATACTAATGGTTTTGTGAGAAAACTCCTGACAAGGTGCTTTGAAATATGGCTGTCTACTTGAAGGACAAAAAAAACCAACAAAACTGACCTCTTGAAACACTCATTGCTGAGACTTTTTACTGCATTCCTCCTAATGACATCAATAAAACCAAGAACATTTACACATAAAGTTAGGAAGAAAATACAAGTATTTGGTAACCATCTGAAATGTCTTTAATTACAGTTTATAAAAACAGACAACCAGCATCTGTCTCTGGTAAAAAAACTTGCCCTTTGCATTCATTTTGATGGACCTAATTTATACTTTTCTAAATCTAGCTCCATGTTTTATTAACATTTTTTTCATCTTGACTGTATACTACAAAAATTCACAATGTCTGTATTGGCATAATAGTTGAATATCTTCCAATTATGAATGAGTTGACTAATATTTTGAATGTATTTCCTGCTTATAAGTTGAAAACTAAACATATTGTACCCATTCTGACTTCTCTATCAGTGTGGCAAACAGTCATTACAGGCAATGAGCACAGGTTTGCAAATGCGGACAAAACTTACCTAAAAAAAATAATATGTATCCGATCATGATCTACTGTGACTCAATCTAACCTGGAAACATCAGTTTGCTTTTGTACAATGTATTATTGCAACTGTAGCAAAGTTTTAAATGTTTCAATTAACAATGAATTTTCTCTGTTGCAGAAACTCACCTTTGGTTGACTTATGTGAGAAATATATTTAGAGATTAATAATCATCCCAGTGTTTTCATTCCCCTTATGAGAAGATGAGAACATCTTCAGGTTCTCCCACTCATAAAAGGAGATGGAGTCAAAGCTGGATAATTTTTTCATTAAAAGAAACAAAAAAGTGTATCAGCTGTGCAGCGACATACTTGCTCTCAAGCAGTCTTACAGAGTCAATTCTAAAACTTACATGAAGTACAGCAATTTGTACAAGATCAATTCATCAAACAAGAACAGAGACTTATATTAAACTGAGTGTTTCTGAGCAAGTACAGACCATCCCAAAACCAAGTCACATAGATCAAGCATACCTGTGGCACAAACAAGTTATGATCCCTTCAACACTGAGCTATAGTCAGATGGACTTTGCGCCATTAAGCACTCGCTTTTAGCTTAGTCAGTTCCAGCTGCAAGAAAAGCATCTCAATCTTTACAAATTAATCCCTGTACGTACACTCTCGTCCACGGCTGCCTCCTCTTCCCCGTCTGTTGGAACTTCCCCGTCCGCGACTCACTTCTCTGTCCCCTCGTTTTTCTCTGTTCTCTTTGTTTTCTGAACCTTCCTTTCCAAGGCTTTTCTTCTTTCCCCCTACAGTCTCCCAAGAAGTCTATTTGGGTAGAATAGAGTTAGATGCAAAAGTCAAAAAGAAGAAGACACCTCTCAATACACACTTTCCACCCCACACCCCTCCAGTTCATGGAAAAAGCCCAGATATTTGCATAATGTCGCATATGCAAACTACACTGATATAAATGGAAACACAGGCTGTATTTTTGCAAAGAGATGAGAAAGAAACATTTTTTTATGTCTTAGGGAATATGAGAATCCTAAATATTTCTGGCTATAACGGACTTTTACTAGTTTAAGGAAGACTATATACTATCATAACACAGAACATCTGCAAAGTAAGCAACTGTTTTCCTCTCAAATAAATCCATAAATCTAGCAAGGGAGCATGAACAAAGCTATCTTTTTCTCCCAGAGAAATAAAAAAAAAACAAAAACCCTTGTAAGTATCACTGAACAAAAGATTGATGAGAATCAGTATCTGGCCTAAGGGGGGGAAAAAAAAACCCAAACCCAAAAATACCCAAAAACAAAACAACAACAAAAAAATCCCCAAAACAACCAAAGCACCAAAAACACAGAAAAGAAAATGTTTCATCCAGGCATACTAGAATTTATGTCCCAGAAGACAGAATGGCAAAACAACAGCCTGAAAAAACTGATGATAAGCCAGACCATCCACTCTTAACAGCTATAGACTACCAAACATAGCAAAACACAGGAAAAGCTATGTCTAAACAAGATACGGGACCAAGGTCCAAACATCAGGCTTCTATTTTTATATTAAACTCAATCTTTAAAATAAATTCAAGGATGTTATCAGCTCCACAGGGGTATCTGTGGGAGTTGAAAATAAAATGACTAAAACACTTGCCAAGAATAGCTCAGCAACTCATATATTATGCAATAGCACGGTTAGTCTATTGAGCCATAGCTGCAAAGCAAGTAAGAAGAATAAAAGGTATTATTTGCAAACCATTAAGATGGCAGAGAGGTTTACATATATGTCCCCATTTCTAGGAGCTTACAGCTCAGGTAAGATATTTAATATCAGAATATTTGCACATACAAATTGATGTGAAGCACTGAAGTATGACATCTGACAGGCACCTGCATCAAACAAAAAAGGTTGTCTATCAGTGATTTTAAGTCCTGTCTCTCAATTTCACCAAAAACAACTCAGCAGCCCTGAGGAGCCAAGACCATGACCAGCTAGCTCAAGCTGCCTAGGAAGCCAGCGCTATGAAGAAAGCAGGTAACAAAGCAATTTACAAACTCAGTGTTACAGAGTCTCCTTTGAGAGAATAAGAACAAAGATAATGGTTACTCTCATTTTTTGGCATGGCATTGTTGAGAAAGAAGGCTGAAATCACTTTTCAGTTCTACCTCCAGTACAGAAGACTAAAGCAACTTCAGTAATGCCCAGCCAGCACTAATCAGAGGTACAAAACCAAACACATTTGAACACCACCACCTGATCTGTGAGGCAGAAAGCTGCTCCCCCCAGTAAGTACCACATGGCTTCACTTACCACATCCAGTGCAACTGAAATGAAACATTCCTAGTGCTTCACATACCTCACAGGAGGAAAAACAGTCTGTAGAGTTCAGAACGCACTAATTCACTGATGGGCTTGTTGCCAAAACATCTTTGACCATTTCAGGAAATACCCAAAACTGCGTAAGGCTGCAAAGCTGAAGAGGAAGCAACCTCTTCTGAGTGACAGCTAAAGTAACTTAGGAAGGATCAGAAAAAAGATGACTATGAAGCCATCAGATCCATGCTTTCCCATAATACAATTTTGAGGAAAGCCTTGAGGATGCATGTCCTTTAAGATAAAGGATGGTGCTACCTCTGAGAATGGGGATCTACCACAAACCATTGAAGCTGTCTCTCTTTGTAAGGGAGGTAACTGATTACAATTTCAGCTGACAATGCCTGAGACAACCCAAATAACAGTCATGGGCCTGACCTTTAAAAATCAGAAATAACAGAATAATTAACAGAATAGTTCTTGTTGGCCTGTTCTTACATGAAAAGTATAAAAATCTGAAAGGTCTCTTTTGTTGTATCCTCGAAGGTTTAATAAGTCAAACATGGCTGAGCATAAAATAGATGAAAGTTAAATGAATATAAATCTTAGGGTAAGAAACGTATCTTCTCTACTCATCCACAAGCCTCTAACTACCCCAAGCCAGACTGCTACAACTGCTGCAATAAGGAAGTCTTTACAGAGACTAAGTCACACATTTACAGCTTGTAGATCACAGCTTTAAGCCCCAAAAGCAAACAAAAAAAGACTAAGATAAAACTGGCTGAGTACCAAATAAACTATAAATACACATTTTAGCTTTCCTTGCTCTTCTAGTTCCTTCAGTTGAAGGGATACATCTTTCAAGTGAAGTTTAAAAAAACTTCAAGTGCATCCAAGCAGAGTGAGACTAGAAAAAAAGAGATTTGGAAATTTGCATTCAGAATTTGTAGTACCTCAGCTTACAACTTCACATCAAATCCATGGTTAAACTGTTCTCAAGTAAACAAATCCTTCCAACTGGAGGCCCACAAACATTCAAAAATAAATTTCTTAACACTCATCAATTAATACTCCTTCCTCCTTGACTCCTTCAAGTTCTTTGTATTTGTTTGTAAGCTGCATTTTGTCTACAGGGAGCAGTGGGTTAAGAAGGACTTGTCAAAAAAGCAGAACATATCAGTATCACTTGTATTTGATAAATGAGTTCAGAAAACTTTTTCTATGTCATGATCAGTTACAACAAATTGTTCAAGTAAGAAAGGACTTAATATTTTCCATCAACCAGAAAACCACTTTCAACTAAAAAATGGCAAATACGAGAAGTATGAGAGAACATAGCACATTACCCAGATAGATCTAATTAAGATGAAATGCTCTCTTCTACTCCCAGCTTGTCAATAACATATACTTCTGTTTTTACAAGACTCAACTCTAATAAAAAATGAAAAGGGGATAGAAAAGAAAGTCCCCTCAGTCAGAACAGTGTGTGTCCCAGATTAAGGGTGTGTGAGGGGTGAGTTTCCTCATTAACAATAAGCCAGAGTACACATCCTGACAAATCACAGGAAATACTGAGTGTTCAGCATCAAAAAAGGAAGTCCAGGTTACTTTTCCAACTTAGATGAGATAGAATCTAATTTAAGGACAAGCTATAAGAAATCCCTTCAGCAAAAACTTCAACTGCAGTACAACATATTTTCTTAATATCTCTTAGGATAAAATTTCACTGTGAAACCTTTTAAGCAATATTATTTGTTGCTGTATATACACAGTTTAGTCTCCTCTTCCTGTTTTTCAATTAAGCCATGCAAATGAGCAACACAGTTAAAGGAGCAACTATTTGCTGCATCCTTTTCTGCCATAACTAGCATTATTAATACAATTTGCAGATGTGGACACCACCTACAACTTCAATACCAGCAACCCACACCTACAGAACTTGCAAAACTTCAAATATCTGCCTGCTCCTAGGTTTACAAAGATTGACCTTTGTGATGGTCTCAGGCCTCAGAATTGTGGAGGATCTACACAGTAACTACAAAACCTGCAGCAAGAAACAAGCCCGTGTCTGAAGCAGCACTGAGTTCTGCTGCAGAGTTAAAACTGCTGTATATAAATAAAAACATAGGAACTCTGCGATAGACCAGCTGAACACCCACAACATTTTCCAGATTCAGCCTTCTCCAAGGTATCCATGCAGTAGAGAGGCTGCCCCAGTTTCAATTTCCTCCAAAAGAAATTTAATGGAAATTAAAAACTTCCAAAACATGACTTTTCTAAGATACTTCTAGAAGCTAAAAAACATAGCAAACAGAAGGAGTAGTTTAACATGGAAGTAAAACCTTACCGTGTCTGAACTTCCTTCCAGCAATATGTTGATTGCTCTGTTCACATCCCCATTACAATCATGTAGTGCCACTATGCATTCATCCTGGTTTTTCCCCGTCACCTCCATAAGCTGGCAGTAAAAGTCAGACATGTTAAAATATCTAAATTACCATCAGAAGAAAGTAAGAGCTAGTATGGCCACAAATTACAACAAAGTGCATAGCTACCACTGCAGAGTAAACTAATATCCTGAGAAAAGTAACCTGCATTTTGCACATCTGCTTGGGATTCAGACAATAGAGAGGAAGAAGCACAAATTAATTGGTAATCAAGGAAGTACTATTTCATGCTTTTTTGTTCTTTATGCTTGCAGCAGATGTTGCCAGATAAAGCAGTATATGAGTGTAAAGCTGAAAAGGAACACAATAGTTTCAGTATCACTATCTCCTTCTCCATCAAATGTGCCCCTCTTTGTCCCAGTGTGAAAAAAGACATACAGCAAGACATGGCAGAGAACAGATCACCTGGAAAACCATCCAGATTATTTTTCAGACAGACTAGCGCCCTTGATCCATTTCAGCATAAGGCCACACCAGAGTCACAAGCTGATTAAGGAGACCTAGTTCTGAATTATGCTCCTTGAACTCCTGGTGTATATCCTGAAGACTGTGGGACAGAAATAATCTGTCACGGGGTATTCAGCAAGTTCATCCAAAGAATAAAACTATATGAGCTGGAAATACATATGTAGAAGGTAAAACATATTCTATGCAGAACCTAATTCATCTCCTTTCCACCAGCACAGCTACAAACACTGTTGGTGAGAGTCCTTTGGCTTCATGAAGTACAAGACTTCATTCTCAGCACAGCAAAAAAACTAGTTTGCAACAACAAAAAGTATTTAATAATGCTTCAGAGGAAGTTTTAGAGATGAAAGGAAACCAAGAAATTTACTCCTCCACTGCATTTATGCACTCAAGCTAATTCTTCCCTCCTGGGTGTACTCCCAGGCTCCTCATGAATTGTGATGCTACCACTAGGACAAAATCACCAATAGCCACAGTAGAACAGAGACCCATATTGTCAGGACTGCTTGAATTCATGGTCTCAGCTCTAACTAGGGAATGAAAGCTTGATTAACTAACACCTAACACTTCACAACAGAGGAAAAGGTGTGAGATTTCATTTATACATTGTAATTCTATCATTTTAATGCATACACAGATCTGTGAGGTCAGATTATTTTTTAAAATAAAATCTTGATTCACCTTTAAGCTCTCATTAGATTTATACTTTTCCTAAAAAACTTCCAAGCTCAGTTTACACAGGTGACATTTTTTCTCACATGCACGTACATGTGGACAAACTGAATGCATTCTTCATTCTGAGAATCATTAATCATCAGGACCATACTAGAAAGATACAGAGGAAGAGACATCAGCACAAATGAGCTTTGGCTGAAGAGTTTGTCTACAAAGGAAAGTACACTGATATAACTACGCAGTCAGAGCTGTATTACCACAAAATTTCTTGTAAACAGACTTTACAGTGCAGTAAAAGCACCTTTTCCTAATCAAACTTATGTCCTTCTGAAAAAAAAATTTCATCTAACCCAGAAACAGATGCTCTAGCTCCAAAATCTACGCCAGCTCTAGACCATTTAATTGTGGGGCAAAAAAACTTGTACCAAAAGAAACATACTTGTTTCACTTTATCTTCAAAATCTGCGTCATTCTTATCGTAGATCATCTGAGCAAGGCGAATCTGTTCTGCTGTTGCCTGAAGAAAGATAATATCCAATGAAGTACACAAAAGGTAACTATACTTTTTAGAAGTATATCTTAGTGTCCCTGTTTTTTTCTTACGGGTTCTCAAAAAAGAACATACACATCAAGCACAGAGATGCTATGGGGAAGGGATCAATATCTTGTCTATTCCCATTTACAGTTTTAAATGTTATTTGTGATAGAAGTAATTTCAACACATTCTAAGCTATTTGAAACACAGTTAGAGATCACTGCACTGACTATAATAATATAGAAGGACGAGGGAATGCTAGCCGATGTTTTAGCATTAATGTTTTTAATTTTATTTAGGATCTACTACTCCAGAGTTAAGAGCTTTATTGTAACAAACTGGCAATAGTATGTCTAAATCAACCAAATCTCTGATGATCCCCGCTCACATCACCATCCACACTTCTCCCAACAACAACCTGACTCTGTACTTTCATGAGTACTTAAAAAGACTTGAGTCATGTCTAAAGACTTTCCCCATGAACAGCTGTACTGTTTTCTTTTTTTTACAAGCAAGTACTGGTCTCTGAAAATTGGTAAAGGAACTTGCTATTGATGAAGTATCTGGTGCTTCTGCAACATTTCTGGACAAAAATGCACACTGGCAACTTGCACAAAAGCTGAGAGACTGAAAGAGATGCAGTCAAGTACAATAAGTCCAAACACACTATGGCTACCCCTGAGAGAAAATCAACTGTAACACAGATGTCACATCACACATGTCACTCTTCCTAGTGTGGCATCTGCAGGCTATGAACTGCACTCCGAAGAAAATACCTAAGAACAGTGTGCACTACAAGATCCCGGATCTCGTTTGACTTCTGCTCAAAGGGAAGAGTCTACTGTCGCACATAGAGAAAGCTGATACTAAAGAGAGCTAGGACCCATGATGTGGCTGCTAAACCTGCAGAGGTTCTTCTTCATTGAGTGGGACCAGCTCATCTACTGGAATTTTTGACAGAAAGGATTCACTCTGGGCAGCTGTATGAATCTCACCTTTTACCATCCCACTTCACAGAATACACACATGAAATTCTGTGTCCGACAAGGTCAGACCTAATCACGGTCAGAACGCTTGGCATTTGGAGTTTACCACAAATGCAAGCTCTAGAGGAGGTCACCAAGCATAAATGCCGAGAAGAGTCTAAAAATTACTCCAACATGCACCACCAACTGCTTATTTGCTGCAAAGTTACTGCAGCTGTCCCAGTTCCTTGAGGGAAGTAACATCTGTGCTCAGAGACAACAATACAAGAAAATTATCATTTGCAACTGAGTTACATACTCTGATTACTTCACCTTTTCAGCATGTCATGCTGACAGCCTCATAGGTCACCCCACTGCATAACAGGGGGAGGGCCTGCTCTGCAACTCCCCAGTTCTTTCCACAGAAGTCTCCCTGTCAGTGTGGTGCTCTGAGCACAGGAGCTTGCTCATGTTAAGAGCTCAGCAGACAGCAGAGCCAAAGTGTCTGCTGGTTTCAGGAATTTAAGTCTTGTTGATCCATCTTCTCACTCTCATTACAGACTCCCACAGGCACACTGCGACTTTTAAGCAAATGAAGAGATTTTCTTTGAAGATATCCAGAGCAAAAACATTCAGACAATATAACTTCTGTGAAGACATGATGGAATATTTTACCAAAAATCAGGAATCCACTATGATTTATCTTTTCTGTAAACAAATGTTTTCTTCAAACCCACATGTTAGAAAACAAAAACAAATCAATTTTAAAAAATTACAAATACATGACAGCATCTTCAGTTTCCCTGTGTAAGCAGAGAGCTTAGAAACTTGCAGATGCAATACCATGTTTATGCCAGTGGATTATACCCAGATGGAACTGAGGATGCAGAAGGAAAAAAAATCAACAACAAAAGCCACAAGATGACTACATAAACATGAAACCAGTGTTACAAAAAAATCTTGGCCTTTTCTCCAGCAAGTGGTGGTTCTTTATTTTTAAGGCACCATTGTTAGAACAGATGCTATAGTATTCTAACCAAAAGTATAATTAAGTTTTAATTGTGACTAAGAAAATAGTAGTATCTTAGGACAGCCTGAATTTTACTCAACCTTACGAGACATAATACCTTTTCAGTATAAGAGTGAAAGAAATTTTAAACTAGAAACTTCAAACTACCAGAAAACAGAAGTGTGCAAAACAAGATTAAGTGACAGTAGCAGACTTAGATCCTACAATAAAATGGCACACTTATGATCCAGAAGCAATGCAAAAGAAGCATGATGTAATTTGTTAAATAATTTAAATGATGATCAATGTGATACTATGACAGTGGAATCTTCATTTGGGAAAACAGCAATATTCTATATTCAGAAAAATGAATCAGTGGTGATTAAACAGGTAAATCCACAGGCTGCTGCTGATCCACGAAGACTAAGCAGAAAGGTCCATGTGATATCTCAACAATAAAATATATGGTGCATTAAAATGTAACTGCTGTGTATGAAATAACCACCTTTTCCCTGTAGTGATCAAACCAGTACCTATTTTGCAAAAGGTAGAATAAATGGACAACATCCAGAAATAGGCCTTAATGCCTATTAAAAATCAATGAATCCTGTAGTTTGGAAAGGTCCTCCAGTGATACACCATGGCCATACTCACGGTAATTTTTTTTCCCTTTTAACAGCAGGAATTACCAGTATTCCAGCTTGTGCCGCTTTCTTTCTGAGGAGAGTTGGTTTCTACCTTTCCTATACCCTTTCATGAGGTACCTGAATAGAAGACACACTTGCCTTGCCTTATTAGGGCTGAAGAAATCCAGATCCCTGAGCAATACCTCATAAGTTCTGTGTTTCAATCTAACAACCATCTTTGCAGCTTTTCACTGGACTTGCTCCGATTTGCCTATGTCTGTCCTGTGCCAGGGAACCCAACCAGGCAAAGCACTCCAGTGTTGTCTTGCAAAATGTTGGAAAAGGGGAAGCCACCACTTCTGCCAGGCTGCTCACTATACTCCTGCAGCCTTGTTTCAAAATAAAACCAAATTCAACTCATCTGTTGAAAATCAATTTCTAAATCCACACATTAGCATAATCACCACTATGTCAAGTGCTGCAACTCAAAAAGATGACAAGGGTTTGAGGTCAGATGATTAATACCGTGCAAAATAGACCAAGAGGGTCTCCATATTGAAGACCAGTCCAAAAAAACCAAGAGAAGGCAGTATTTCCCTGCAGAGCACCTCTAGATTAAAACACACTCTGCCAGCAAAGAACTGAGACTGTTTTTGAATGGAGGCAAATTTTGAGATGTATCTGGCAAGAGAATACTGAGTTGCCAGAAGCAGAAACATTCTGCACACTTTGAATCCAGACAAGCACACAACTACTGCTGCCAAGAATCAGTGGCAGGTGGGTGAAACTTAATTTCTGTCTAAAACAGATAGTGAAAATTTTAGTCTGCTAGTGGATGACCATGGTTCACTGTACAAGACTTGTGACTTGCAGAGACATGCATCTAATGAAGTTTCTCCCACCCATGCACATTTCTCTCTTGACCAGCAATCTTCTATCATCAGCAGATTAGCAGATGGAAGAGCCGACATCTGAGGACTTTGAGGACACAGGACAAAAATCCTGAGAAAGGCATAGAATTCCTCACTATTAGGAGACATTGCTGAAGAACACAACACTCATTTAAAGACAACACAGACAGAGAACTTAACGCTGTCCTGCATAACTCAGTAACTAAAGCAAGTAATCAAGCATAATCTTCCAAAATAAATCATGTATTTCCATCCCATCTTTTTCAGTTTTTACTGACTCAGGGAAGAAACTGGTATCATCACATTCTCACTTTCAAGTCAAAGAAGTTGATACAGTAGCACATACCTGTACTACTTGTTTCTGTGGTTGTGTTGGCTGTGTGGCTGCAATTTGCATTTTGTCCCGAGTGCCCCGGGTACGTTCACTGCCCACCGAAGTCATCATATACAGTATATACAAAACAATGTATGTACAAAATACAAAATCTGAAAGAAAAAAAAAAAGAGCATGAGTTAAGTTGGATACTGATTCAATAATGAAATAACTTAAGTGTAGTAGTTTGAACGGCTTTTACTAGTGATTCTATGCAGAGACTCATGAGAAAGCAGCTTTAATACCTACTTTTGGATTTACTGCAGGTTTTTTTCACTCAAGGGGGAAATGCAGCAAATAGAACGTCTTTTATCAGCTGTCTGGGATCTGTGTCAATTTGTACTTCTAAATCTCACAGCTTTTCCCAGTTATTTAACATACAGACTTTTCTACTGGCTACTCTGATAAAGTTCTAGCTCCAGCTACATCACACAAACTTCTTTAATACCTGCTGTCTAGTTTTCATGCCTGGAATTTAACTGCTCTCGTACCCACTCAGAACACTACACAAAAATCATATTCATAAATTAAACAGTTCCTCTTTTCTCTACTATCAAAACTGCTTTTCCTACACATACATGGAGGTCATGGCCAATCCTATCACCCTTACTTTAAACATACTGCGGGGCTGTAGGAAACCCCAAAGGAAACCCCAAATCCCAACCC